TTGTATTCTTGTTAAAATGCACTTCTCTTGGGTTTAATGTATTGTATCACATTTTCAGAGATTATTTTGAGAATCCCATAGCAGTTACTTTGGAAAAGTGCAGTTCTGTTGGCTTAGTTTAAACAACAGGCTGTGTGTATTCTGCTGAGAAGTACCTGAGACAGATTTTTGTACCAAAATAACAGTGAAACGCAAAAGGTACTGCTTCTTGCATTGTGATTTTTGGAGCATTTACTAGTATGCATTGATTGCTTTTGCTGGAGTGGCTGTTTTTCTTGTTTCCTCTTACAGAACTACATCTAAAATATGTAATGTCCTTCAAGGAGTTGAGCTAATGTGTGTGAGGATGATTAGACTGTGTTAGGAAGGGAGAAGATCTGCTGAATCAAGGAGGAAAGAAGGAGGGATTTATGGGATGGGCCCTGTCAAGATGCCATCTACAGCATAAAAATGTACTCCAGTCCCTCCAGGATAACATGGAGAGATCCTGCACTGGATTTCACTGCCAGCTAGCGAGTTTCTAGGCTACTTTTAAACTGTATTCCTTGCATTTGTTTTCTATTTTCAAGGTGTTTGGAGGTCATCTAAGAAATAGAGAGCAGCAGACAGGAATGATCAGCATTGTTGAGTTTGCTGATAGCTAGTGTCCATGGGAATGGCAGAATTGTCTCAGGCTGAATGTTACTTCCTTTTTAGTGAAGATGACATTTTTTTGGAAATGGAGCTGTATATGCTTAGTCTCTGCATGATTCATCTGTCATTGTCACCTTCCTCAAAAGTAGATCTATAAAATCTTAAAAAAACAAAGATTGCAAATATGCTGAAGACAGCTCACTCCTGTATTGCCTGGGGTTGTTTGTTCAGCAGCGCATGCGTGGGTCAAAGGTCTGAAGGAAATGCATGTTTATCCTGAAGTGGTCAAAAGTGGCAAGCAGCTGTTGCAGACAGCAAGGACACCATCATCATGGGAGGTTGAATTTTTTGTGTCCTTTACTTACTGCTCCTTTCATAATACTCTGCTAAGGGAATTACAAAGATTTGTTAGCCTTACACTTTGTCATCAGTGCAGCTGAAGCTGCATAATGGTTTAGTCTGCTGGCTCTTAGATGTTAGTGATATCTAGCAGAGTGTGTGAAAAGCCATTTTAATTATCCATGTTTGTGTAGTGTGAAAAACCCTCAAGTGAAAACCATCTTGTCTTGGCCAAAGATGCTAAAATAAATTTGGTATATTTTTTTCTTATACAGCCAGTTCCTGTAGCTGCTACTACAAATATGGTGTAATTTTGCAAGTCCCTGTAATCTTTTTATCCACTCAATTTATTTTTCAGCTAGAGAAATGTTTGATAATTATGTGATGTGATCCGTGAATATTGCTGAAGATGCAAGTGTCTCTTCCCAGCCAAGATATGTTCCTGCATATAGCAGAAGAAAACTTCTGTTGTCAGATCAGATGTTGCAGAAATAGCTGCAATAGTATTTGTACAACTTGCAGCTTACAGGAACATAGGGTGTTGAAAATACCTGGAAAAAACCTAATTCTAAATTCTGCTCAAGTGAGAATGTAGGGAGTGGCAAAGAAAAAAAAGAAAAAAAAAGCATGTATGAGGGGATGTGTGTAAAAATTAGGTATGTGTGCATGTGGAGGAGTAGCAATGTACAGAGTAAGAGATTGCAGTGGGTTTCTTGGCACAGTCATAAACATAAGTTTTTTTGCAAAAAATCTTGTTCTTAAGTTTTTAAAGCTGGTTGAAATTCTCAGTTTGAGCATTCCTATTCATAGTAAAATATAATGGTTTCTTCTTCCACAGATGTGTATAAAGAGCAATTTCTTGTGAATGTATCATTTAGTTCTGTTGATCTGTTTGATCAGTGGTTGAGTATCTGCATGAAATATAAAAAAAGGGCTCTTTGAGCATCCCAGCTGCACAGGCTATGACCTGTTTCTCCTAGGGAAATACCTTATTGGAGTGATGTTCTTTAAAGCGACTTGAGTGCCTGTGTTTTCGGTTAATTTGAAGGCGTGGGGGCATAATGCGTCATGTACCCAGTGACACATCTGCCTTTGTCATTAAGCTCATGGCTTGAAGAAAAGTGTTACTCAAACTGTGGATCCCATTATAGGCATTTAGCCTAGGGCTATGATGGCTTTAAGACTGAAGGAGTACTTAGAACTGTGCTCTAGCATGCAAGTGCCTTCGGGCTGTTGAAGTGTGTGTGTGATGGCTGTTCATGTACTCATTGTCTGAAGCTCTTATTAGGGATTACCTGTCAGGCAGGTCCACGCATTTCCTGCACATGGAGAGTTCCTTAGCCCCCTTCCACAGGGCACTGCTCTGTAGCCCACAGACTTAGGTTGGCAGCTGGGCAGGGCACAGCTCAGCTCAGGGGTCCCAGTGTTGGTCTGGTGTGGGTGAGCTTCCTTTGCCCCGGGGTGCTGCTTGGTGTGTTGTAACTAAATCTGATAAACTTCTCTTCAGACCTTGAATCAGGCAGAATTTTTGTGGTTGTGTATGCAGTGTAGGAGGTTTCTACCTGTCTTGGTATTCTCCCTACAATTCAGAATTCAGAGGGAGATGGTGGTAAGTCTGGAAAAGGAGGAGAAGGGGGGAACCTCATAAATAGATGTATGAGAGAAGGAAATATGGCTTGGGTTAGCATGAGGAGCAGTTGCTCTTTCAGTTCTGCAGGGCTGTATTAGTTGCAGAAGTGTCTCATATTGCCCATTGATTCTACAGTAAAATGTCCATCCCTCTCGCTGTACTTCTTTCATGCCTTTTAATAGTTTAATTATGGTGATAAATGAAACTGATGTACTTCATTCTGTGAAGGAAATAGAGGAATGACATTTCAACCCAAATATTTGTTTTGTGCTGAATTAGAACTACTATAATTTTTTTTAAAATGGCTTTTGGTACATTGAATATGCCTGTTAAGGTTGTTAGTTCTCAAACAAGTAGTGCCTTCAAATACTGACTGGGTGCACTGCTTTCAGGTTCCCCCCCCCCCCAAAAAAAAAGAAAAAAAAGTGAGCAACTGTTTCCGTATTTTTATTTCTTTCTTGTTTATTTTCTAAAACATGTACCTAATATATGATGCGATACTTCTTTAATTTTTCATGAACTTTTTATATGGACGCCGTTTCATGGGGATACAAAGACAAGTCCTGCAAATGTGAAGAAGTTTAAATGAATTCTGGGGTTTTCTATGGCATGAATGGGCAGCAGCCCAAGTGCAGGGGACAGTAATTCCTAATTTCTGTGAGGCCTGCATGTTCACAGGACGCTGATGGCAGCCCAGCCTCGGCACAGCGGCTCCTCCGCAGGGCCCGTGGTGCGCGGGGCGGGGGCGGCGCTGGGCGAGGCCATGGCCGGGGAGGGCCCTGCGCTGCTGGGGGCTCTTGGCAGCCGAGCAGGGCTGCCCATGTGGGACAGCGGGACGGACACGGCTCTCTCTGTGCTTGTGGGTGCCTGGCGGCTGCTGGCTCACCCCGGCTGCTTTGCTGCAGCTGTTCCTGCGTGCCTGGCCTGCTGCTGTTGGGAGCTGCAGCTTGGTGCGCCTGCAGAGGAGAGCGGCTGGGTTGTGCCCAGCTGGCAGGGGTGGGACTGCCGTAGTTCAGCCCTTCCATGCAGACAAGGTGACTCTGGGCGGGGGCTGAGCTAGGCGTGCCACGATTTTGGCTCCCAAGGTAGTTTCTTGAAATGGTGCGCTTGTCACTTTCGAGTTAAACCACATGTTGTTTTAAGAAGATTTCATGCAGTACCAGGCACTGCCATGTTAGAAAACCTGAGTGAAAATCCCTTTAACATTATTTCTCGTGTAGGTTTATCATAAATTAATTATAAAACTATGTCTGATACATATTTTACCGTACCAGTTTGTAGTCAGGTCTGTTCCTGGCACAGGTGCTCTTCCTTTTAAATCTGAAAAATGTATAGATTGTAAAGAAGAAATTAAACCTGTAGGTAGTATACAGGTTGCACTTGTTATTTGACAGGATGAAATCTATGAGGTATCTGTTGATTAAAGCCAGAGAGTGGTGTCTGAAATGGAAAACTGGATTTTGAAACACAAACTTGGGGCAGACTGTACCATTTCTTCTAAGAAAAACGCTTTGTACCAATGGAAATGAGATCTGCAAAACCTGTTTTGAATCCAGACAGGCTGGGCTCTGGACTGTGATGGGAAAGTGTTTATTTTTCCATGTGACTTTCAGAAAGTCAATAATAAGTGGCCTTTCCAGAACAACAGGTATCTTTGTAGTTCCAGTTTTGCTTTGTATTAGCTTGCCCTAGTCCTTGTGCAGCTTTTGGCTTCTTTTTCTAGCTTCTGTCATAATCTGTTTCCTAAAAAAGGCTGAAGAAATAAAATGAAAATTGCAGTCCTACAAGTGCCAAGCCTCCAGGCAACAGAGTACATTAATGATGTACTTGGCCACAGCTTTGCTCTGTTAGTTCCAAAGTTTAGCTGTGGAGTAGCAGAGAAGGAGAATATTCAGTCACTTAAAATAGCTGTTAATAGCATACTGACCATGATGGGTGTCTCTGTGAAAACCATCACAGGTAAGCTCCCTGCTGACACAGTTACTGGTTGTACTTTGCAGGGCAGGATTTTTTTTTGGAGGAGCCCATGGTTTAGCTCCAGTTCCCATTAGCAGCCCAGTGTGTGAAGGGACAGTCTCTCCCTGCTAAATAGTCTGTGGTGCTCTTGTCCTGTAACTTGGTTCTTTTGTGGAATGGCAAATCCAAGCAGGAAGCAGGGGTGGGGCCACCAATATTCACAGTGGCTGTCCCACTGACAAACTTCAGTTATGTTGAAATATTGTGGTGGTTAAATGCATCCATCTTCTGTGTTTGTTAATTTTAAGAACAGGTGAGACCACATCATTGCAGAGGAGTGAAAATACAGCTCGGGTCGAGAGCCGTAGATGCCCACATTGTGATCAGGGGTCTCTGCCTGGAAGTGGGAGAGAGAAAGGATGTAGGAGTTTAACTGTCCAGTCAAGGGTGAGCCATTTAATGGCATTTAGCTTTGTCAGATTCCAAATTTGCCCCCCTTGTGGAGTCTTTCTGAAAACAAAATGAAGTGCAAAGTCTGCAGTGGCAGCATTGTTGCCTGAGAACAGCAATATTCCATTTGAAACTTGTGCTCTGTGGAGCCTGCAAAATTGGAAATTACTTAGACCAGTGACTACTTTATTTCAGTTATATGTGGAAGTGGTTAATGGTTTCTTACGCAGAAAACACTTTCATGATTTCTACTCCAGTCTGTTAAGGCTCAGAGCAGGCACTATGGGTGTGTTTGCTTTTACTTTTAAAGAAAGGCTGGCAAAGATGTGGCGCCTTGTTTGGGTAGAAGGACACCATGGAAAAGGAAAGAATTTAAGGAATGAAGAAAACTTTGGGAGATAGCAGAGTATCTGAGTTTGGTGCAGACTGTGGTATTTTTTGTATTTGTTTAAATCAAAATATAATTTACTCAGTGGGAGCCTCTTGCTTTGATGAACAGGATATTTACTCTAAAAAACATTGAAGATCTTCACCCTCCTTTAACTTGATTTCTTTTGAGAGTTTTTTCCAAAATAGAACTGTAATGAATTGGTAATAATTTTTCTTCTCTGAAGTATGTTGCGAAAATCATATGTTACCCTTGGACTGTTCCAGGCTGTAAGTGAAGAAAAGAATTTCACTGTGGAGTGAGGGAATACTTCCAGGAGGTTGGATGATTTCTGGATTTCTTTTGAGATGGTTTTCGCATTTTAACTTTGACTTTCCTTTTGGAAGCAACCAAGATAGTTTCATGAGCAGTATTGGAGGGAGTTCAAATAGCTGTGAGCAGAAACCACTCCCAGTTCTTACTGTTGTTTTCATTAGCTGAGGAGGAGCCACAGCTACCTACTAAACATTTCAAGTATTACCAATTAAAGCAGGGAGGGTTTTAAAATCTGCACCCTACTGCTTAATATTCTGTAGTATGTGTTGAAATGGAAAGCTCGTGTATTTTACTTTGGACTTTAATGACTCTTTTGGGCCATATCTGATTAAATAAAGTTACACCCTTTCTTCTCAGTGTTCACCCACCTGTTCTTGCTGAATGCTGGTTGTTAAAAGCATTAAGTAGTGAAGAAAGCGCAAAGCTCAGTACGCCATGGAGCCTCTAGGTGCAGGTGTCGAAATCAGCTGGAGGGTTTGTGGTTTGTGTTGCTGTGGCACTGGGGGTGGCAGTGTCTGGTGAGGCACAGGCCACGTGGTCTCCTTCTTCTGCCTGATACCCAGAAATGTTTTGTGCTAACCAAGTACACTTCCTACCAAGACATATTCTGCAAATAGGCCCACAAAGAACAGAAGATTTGGCTGCAGTCCCACCCACAGCACTTGGCACGGTAACAGTGAACAAGATATAAAAATGCCCCGCTTCTGCATTCAGTGGGGCAGGAGAATGTGAGCGAAATTGCAGGGACAGATAGACAGGTTTGTCCTCCTTGCCCCCCTCAGTAGGGACACTGTTTGGTAAGCCTTGTGTCCTCAGCTGTGCTGAGTGCTGACCTGAGGTATTAAACTTGTGATTGCAATGGCCCTTTTAGTGCTGGATGTAGCTCCTTTGCAGTTAATGCACTCTCACCCTCAGTCCAGAGAAACGTGGTATGTTGCATTCAATAAATCATGCTGTTCCAGAATCTGACTGGTTCTTCTAAATGCAGCCAGACCTACAGTTCATAGACTGTTTGTGTATCTGGAGTTGGACCTGTAGTTACATGGGGCCTACCTGAGTGTGGGCAGTGAGTTCTCACCTTCTTCTGCTTCTTGGAGATATGTGGGCTTATGAAGCATGTTTTGTACACACACTTATCTAAAGGTCTGCTCCAGATGCAGATGAAGTCAGTAAGATGTCTTGATGCCTTTTCTGAGACTTGAGTAGTACTTGGCATAAGTGGTGAAATGGAGCTTTTCTTGCCTTGGCTGTTGTGTTGGGGTGTGATGTAACGGCACAGTGAGGTAGGGTGGGTGTAGCTGTGCCCTGGGGTTCCATGGAGGGATCTGCTGCTCCCTGTGTGGAGAGCAGGGGTGGGCTCTCCCTGCTGTGTTACAGCTGCTCTCGCACACACAGGTACAGCTGCAGGGCAGGCAGCCCCCCCTGAGCCTGCCTCTCAGTAAGAGCACTTAGTTACAACATCATCACCAGTCCTGGAGCTCTCATCTTGGGGGATTGTCTTACATTTGGCCATGAATCTGGGACTGTAAGGGAGTAAATCTGTTCCTCTAAGTCAGCTGATGCTCATAATTGGCAGTGGGACTTCAGTTATTATCACATACCTTCAAGAAGTAATTAAGAGAAATCAATAATTAAAATAATTCTAATCAATAGAGCAACTGGACTGATGCATTTGGTTAAAAATCAGAATTTCAGTTTAATTGGAAAACACATGCTTTAATTATAACTAGAGCTAAAAACATTGTCGTTTCATGCCAGGGTTTGAGAGAATTCAGATTTTTCCCCCCAACACTGTCACTTGATAGATGCTTATTTTAAATTAAATTATATTAATGGTTTATTATGTTACATTTCTGTGGATTAACACCTGTGCAGTCTGATTGGCCCAGGAAAAACCCAGTTAGGTTATAGTAAGTATTGAACAAGATGTGTGCGGAAAATCAGGATTCAAGTTAACAGTCAGAATTATCTGTTTCTGTAATTTACATGAGGAATAGCAATTGTCTGCTTTTCTCTGACGTTGGACTCATGGTAAACATTAGATATTAAGTCATCATAACTCAGCAAAAAGCTAAGTCTCTGACAGGAACTGATGCTCAGAGATGTTTATATCCAGTATATTGTATGGCTGAGCTTCTGTTTTCTGTAGAGTAACAAGGCAAACCTACCATGGGGATAGAAAAATCAGTAAAATTGTCTGTGTGTTGGAGTATCTTGGGTTTTCATCTCCCACTGCATTCTTGACATTGGGGCATTATTTTGTTATCTGAATATGCATTCTGGAACATGATTTTGGACATTCAAACCTAAATGAAAGTAGTTACAGTAGACAATGTCCACAGACCTTCAGGGAGAAGTCCCAGTAAATAAAATGAATCATACCGTGAGCATGGGTGAAGAGAAATTAAGAATTTGTTTTTGTCACTCTTCATTTGCAGAGGAAAAGTTCCTAGGTTTTAAGTGTCTGTGTTTCATCTGCCACTATAAGGACATGGTGATAGCTGGAAGAGCATCTCCTCACTCTACCCCTACCTCCGACCTGCAGAAAGAGGTTTTGCTTGCCAGTGAGAAAGCTAAAATGGAACATGCATAGCTGCAGAAAAAGCTAACCTGGTTTTGGCATAATGAGCTCAAACTTGATTAAAATTCTTTTATTAAATCACAGCAGAGTAAGTAGCCACAGAGTAATGACTGGAATGTGTCCTCTATCTGGAAGGACTCTGCCGAGCACGTAGCACAGCTCAGCATATGAACTGATTCATTTGTATTACTGCAGTCAGGCTGAAATTCACACTGATGCGTGGTTCATGTCATACTCCTGGAGTTCTGTGCACACTTTTTATTTTTAAATTAAGTAATCTGGCTTTTATAATAGAATTTTGATTTTTCAAATGTACCTTTTAAATGGTACATTTTTCTAGTAAAATGTACCACTTGATGCCCTGATAAAAAGATGGTTTTGCCAGAACTGCCAGACACCTACTTTTTATCAACCACTCTCAGAGAATATTGCAACAACAATAACAGGAATAACAATACAGGTACTGGCTTGCAGGTCTAAAAACTGTAATCTGCATTACTGCTATACAGCTTCTCTTCTCCCCCTCCCTCACTTTTCCTCTTTTTAAAAGAGCAGTGCTGTGGTGTAGTTTTTCATCCACCTTCAAATGTGGACATGTCAAACCTCTAGCAACATGGTGAAAACACCTCCCGATTCTGTTGCCTTTCTCTTTTCTAATATTCCTTCTACCTATTCCTTTAAATTACTTTGTTTTCCCTGCAGATTGCTGGTTGGAGCTCCTCGGGAAAAGGCCTTTCCAGCCCAACAAGCCAACAGAACAGGAGGGCTGTACAGCTGTGACATTGCATCTCCAAATACAAATTGCCTGCGTGTCAAATTTGATGAGGAGAGTAAGTTTTTCAGTGCTTTTGTTTTGAATTGAAACAGTTGACTGATTGTTCTTGTTTGATGTCCTTTCCTGTGGCAGTGTATCAGACAATTTCTTCTAGAGATTTTTACATAACTACTTTTTGCATCACAGTAAATTGTAGCTTAATTGCTAAGTTCCTGTGAGATGCTTAAATCTTGGTAGATTCTTACTGTTTTGTAAATTGGTGTAACACGAAGTAGTAGGCTGGAAGTTTAATAAAATGGAAGCTGTTAGTGATAACATGTACGGACACTGCCACCTGCAGACTGTCTGTATGAAGTTCTGTATGAAGAGTCTCCCCTGACATGGGCTTCAAGGAAAAACAAACAAACAAAAAAACCAAAACAAACAAAAAAAACCAGAAAAAAGAAAATGTAGTGAACTGTTAGTATTTCAAGCTGTTTTATGATACTTTGCAGCTGACCCAAGGACGGAGAGTAAAGAAGACCAATGGATGGGTGTAACTGTCCAGAGTCAGGGGCCAGGAGGAAATGTGGTGGTAAGTGCTAAAGGAGCGACTTGCAAAAACGTCTGAGGTCTCCAGTACATGTTCTGAATGGTCTGTGTTTCTGTGCAGCTTGCTGAAAGGGAACTTGCCTGAGTTTACTCCTTTGATTTCTTGTAGGCAAGGACTTAAATGTCTCCTTAGCAAAATAAGGCATTTGAGATTGTGAGAGCTTTAAATTATTTTTCTATGAGTTAGCCACTCTTTATAACCTTTTAAACAATCTAGGATGGACAGTTTATTTTCAAGGGGTACACTATTTATTTTAGTCATATACACATTTTTTTCTTTTAACTACTAGTAGCTGCAGAAATAGGGAAGACTAGTGTATAAGGCTGTAAAAGTAGCAGGTTATCACCAGCCTGTTTTCCAAGATGATGAGCCTCACTTTAGCTTTTATCAGGGACTTCTACTGAGTAGCTCCTGTGAATTAATGTGGTCATTGCACGGCACTAGATTGCACTGCAGTAAGACTACGTGCTGTTCTTTATTTTATACAATACATTGATACTTTCTGATTTTGATACTTTTTTGATTTTATATTAAACAGAAAAGGTTTTTGGGAGTTATGAGAGACAGAGTTTAAAAAGTAACATTCTCAGTTAAATAAAAACCACTAGTGGTGCTGCAGGATAAAACATATATCATAAAACATGTGTGCAGTGAAGCTTCCTCATCTAATTGGAGGTTAAAGTCACTGCTTCCAAACCTGGGGGCAGGTGACTTCAGGAAGTGAGTCTGGTTATTTAAGCATTTAGAGGCAGTAATAACTGGCTTTGGTCTGCCTCAGAACCCAGAGTGGGAAGGAACACATAGAAACAGTCCTGTTCATTGAATAATCAGTCATCAACCAATGCTATGTTGTCTTTTTGTGGTGAGTGGGGAATGCACTTCTGAGATGAGGTGTGAGCAGCCTGGCGGTCACTGCAGCAGAACAGTACTGCAGTGCTCTGATGTGGAGCAGCTGAGTGTTTGCATGACATGCAGGCCTTGATAGGAACCATAGAACAGGTTTGTCAGCTGAGACAAACTTTGCTTGTGCTCTTCATACAACCTGCTACATCTGAGTCTTCCAAAAACACTGCTGGCAAAGGCATTTGATTGTTCACATTTTTTTACAATGGTTTGGTGTTTACACTGCTTAGCCAATGGCTGTTCATCCTTTGTGTTAAATATTTGATGAAAATTCTTTTCTCAGGGGATAGTCTGAAAGAATGAGGAACAGGATGTGTTTAGTGCTTCAGCTCTGCCCCAGTGACATTTGCCCTGTAAATGGAACATCCAACAGGGGAAGTAGGAGCAACTTCCCTCCCCTCCACTGGAGAAGCTTTCAGCCTCTGCTTAGTGGCGCTTTTCTGTAAGGGGCGGGTTCTGAATAGTCTTGGGTAGATGGTAGTTGAACCAGCTTCTTGTGTCCTGCACGGGTGTGTCGGTCCTTTGAGAGCTGTTGGGAAACAGCCACTTCTTTCTTTGAGAGAGGGTGGTTTTCTCCTTTCTTCTTGAAAGAGAGGGATTTAGTGTCAGGAAGGGCTTTAGGGATTTAACCCTGTGGCTGTCCTTCACCATGAAGCAGACTGCTTTGCCCTGTACCTGTCTGTGCCCAACCTTTCCCACATGTTGCCTGCAGGAAGCATTGCATTCTGCACTGGGTGTGTCTGCAGGGTGCCTTGGTAGCAGGAGGGGCTGCACTGCTCCACGAGCGCTGCCGTCTGTGCTGAGCCGTGCACAACACAGACACATCACACCTTGTTTCTTCTGTCTTGCAGACGTGCGCACATCGCTATGAGAAAAGGCAGTATGTAAACACAGTGCAGGAAACCCGGGATATCATTGGAAGGTGCTATGTGCTCAGCCAGGACCTCACTATTAAGGATGATATGGATAATGGAGTGTGGAGTTTTTGTGATGGTCGTTTAAGAGGCCATGAGAAGTTTGGTTCCTGTCAGCAAGGTGTTGCTGCTACTTTTACTAGAGACTATCATTATATTGTGTTTGGTGCCCCAGGCACTTACAACTGGAAAGGTATGACTTGGCCTCCTTCCTGCCTACCCTTCCCATTTCCTCTGAGACTGCTCTCAAAGGTTGAATCCAGAGTTTTAATTGTTTTTTTAAGGGGAGAAGAGATAATAGGGATGTAATGATTTTACTCTGTTTTTACAAAATGCTATGCTTCTAAGTATCCAAATATCGACACTTACTGAAGTTTCTTTAAATATCTTTGTGTGTATTTATGAATAATGGAACTTTGCATATATGTACAGAAGATTTTCCCCGTATTAGTCTTAATCTTACGGTGGGATTGAGGGTTTACTTGGACACTTACATACAGAAACAAACTACTAAATTTTTATGAGTTACTTGACCAGCTCTTTTTCTGCATTTGAGCAAATGTTACATAGCTGCTGAACTCTGTTTATTCTGCAATATTCTCTCCTTTATTCTTTGTGAAGTTTGTGGAAACCAGTACATTCCAAAATAAATATTGAAGGGTTGCAGGAAGGTAACAGCAATACTACATATATTCATATCTAAATCCATGCATATCCATGTAAAATTTCATGGATAATCTAAGAGCCAAGTACTCTGTGTCATCTAGGAGATTCTCCAAAACATAAGGGGAAAAAACCCTGGATATTCTTTGTTAGTTTATGTTCAGAAGCATCTAAATGCCCAGTTCAGTCTCTAGAAGTGATTTTTCCCATCACACTTCATTACACCAACAGCTGTAAATACTTTCCTCTTGAGAACATCTGATCCTCCAAGCACTGCATTTTCCCACCTCGTACACCTGTGCCTGGTGTATGAACCGTGCAAAATCAGTGTGTTAAGCTCTGGCACAAGGTGTACTGTAGTGAAAACTTAATCTTCCATGTATCTGTCAACAAAATCTGCCTGACCTGAAACAGCATACCGAGTGCAGACACCCTTTTACTTTAATTGCAGAGAAGTGCTAGTAGAGTCCTAAGAGTACTCTTCTGTGTAATGGAAAAACATGTTTGTGCTTGCCAAAACCTTAATTATGCCAATTGATAAAAGGGAAGCACACTTTTTACTGAACAATAGCTTTTTTCTTCATAAATACTGTTTCTAAGAATAATGCTGGTGTTTGTCATAATGAAATGTAATTTTTTAAAAACTCCTGCGTAATTACCTCCTTTTTAAGAGAAGCTTTATAATGCTAAGAAATACTGGTGGTTTATGACCAAACAGGTTCAATAGGGTTTTTTTTTTTTTTTTTTTTGAGAATTTCCTTAGTATCCCATGTTTTCCAGATCGTTGTATGACTTCTTTGTAGAGCAGCGTGAGCTTCTGGCACACAGAGACAAAACACTAACCCAGTGCACTGTTCTGTGTTTGTCCCATTTTAACAGCAGTCACTGTGTCATTCATCATAATTACTATAAGTTGGGAACATTTATTTGTTATTTTTCTCACTTATCATTTGTTTGCTTTTATTTTATCATTTCATTTTTTCAGGGGTGGTTCGTGCAGAGCAAAAGAATCAGACATTTTATGATCTGGGTATCTTTGATGATGGGCCTTACGAAGTTGGTGATGAGAGCCGCCAGGATAAGAATCTAGTTCCTGTTCCAGCTAACAGTTACTTAGGTAGGATTGAGTACATGTGGTAAATCTCTTTAGGTCTCTTAAACATTTGTGATCCCAGCCTAGTGTGATGATCTGAAGTGGGAGCAGATGTTCCATTGTGGACCCTGTAACATGTTAACTCTTTGGGATAATTCACAGCCTCCCTCCACATTTATGGGCCAGTTTTAAGTGTAAGATGAGACTGCTGAGGTACCTAGAAGAGCTGCTGTTGTAATGTGAGATTCAAGAGCTGTGCCAAGGGCCTATGGAATCTCCAGGAGTGATTATAATCACTGTGATGGGTCAGTACAATGAATGAATCTGTAGTCCTTAGTTGCTCAGTCTCTGCCATGTAGTATCAGAAAGTTTATCAAAATTTGAGTTTCTGGATGTAACGGTTAAGGCTGTAGATTTTCTCTCCTGGTAGGTTAAGTGCAATTCTTCTATTATTTATGCTTTTAAAACTCCAGTGACTTTTAACAGACCTTTAAAATGCCATAATATAAGTGCTGTTTATATTTTACTGACGTGAGTGTTGCAGGAGGTGAATCTCTTGCTCTTTGTGCAGTCAAGAAAGCAGGAATATGTCCTTAGGCCAGCGACCTTTCTGTACACCAGGGAGATAGACTGAAAAGGCTGTGCCGCATTTTTGGAAAGGCATTAAGTGTAAAGAATCCTTCTGTTCCAGTGCAGATTTCTGTGGTGTGTTGATCCACTGCTTTTGGCATATGCAACAAACAGAGTTTTGGTAACCTGAGACTGGAATTTCTGTGTGAGTGATGGAAAGCTGAATAGATGGGAAGGGCATTGCGAATGTAAAAAATAAAAATCCAAGTCAAGAAGAGAGCAAACTTAGAGCTACATATATGTTAGGAGAAAGAGAACATAAACTTCTGTTAAATATCAGCTGTAATTACTGGGTGTAAAGCTAACTAGAAAAATCATCCTAAGAGCTTAGATTAGACAAGCTGATAGCGTCTTCTGGTGGAATAAGAATTGAGGAGCGCTGTGGAGGCCGATGCCTTTTGCTGTGAACAGTCATCTAATCTTTTTCCAATTGTGTAACCAATGCATTTATCTCCTAAATGTAGATGCTGCCTTGATTTGTAATAATCAGAACCACTTCCAGACAAGCCAGCTCATCCCAGGCATTACTGTTCTGTCTGTTTACACCTTAAGCAAATGTGGTTATAGGTGCTTTGCTTAACTACTATTTTTTTCTTTTCAATCTTTCACTCATATTTATAGGTCTTCTGTTTTTGACAGCTGTATCTGATACTCATCCAGATCAGTTTGTGTACAAAACATTGCCTCCCAGCATACAGGTGGACAAGTCAGTGGATGTAATGATGAATAGCTACTTAGGTTTGTGACCACTTGAGGTGGCAGCATCTGGTCAGACATAACCTCCAGACCTTTGTCATGATTCCCTCCCCTCTATCCCCTCTCATATCAGTAAAGCATGAAAAAAACCAGGGATTCAGATAAAGGGGAGACAGCAAAGTAACAAGGCTTGAGAGAAATGCTGATTTGTCATGCATTTCTCCGAACCTTCTCATCTTTCCTGCAGCTGGGACTCCCTCAGTTTTTTCTGGAACTGTGTCATTGTGAATTGCTGTAATTGAGAATTTCCATAGCAGTGGTGAAGTGTTTCAGAGGGAGACTCCCATCTGGCTGGTATCTTCCTTTCTTGCAAAGTGGGCATTTTTCTACTTTGGCCTTCACTGGCTATATTGGTATTAGCAGTATAGTCTTTTAACTTGGTTTTTCATATTTTAAAATGTATTGTAAGACTAAATTAATTTGGACGTGTCATTTTTAGGGCTGCATTTACTTAAAATTGCCTATTTCACCATTACTGTGTAAGCTGATTCTCAAATACTGCATACATCATTCATATGAGAATGCTTGTGCTGAACAGTTTGCATGTTTGTAATGGAACGATACTGACTTTACTTAGGAGGTTTTCTGATAATTTTGCCAGAGGTGAAGTACTCAAGCTATATTGAAGTGGTTAAAGCTGTAATTGTGTCTAAGCTGTATGTGCCCTGTGTTTGGGGTCTGCGAAAAGCAGGTCCAAGTCAGCAATGAAATACTGTGTTTTGTGGGGAAACACGAACTGTAATGTATGGGAGGAGTGTTTGTAGGAATGTAAAAAAGTGTTGACTTGCAAATACACATCCACCAGCGCAAACAGAAATGGAGAATTCCCAGCCATAGCACACTGTATTTTAGACAAAACTTGTATTCCATATACCACTTTAATATAGCTGGGGAAATGTTTATTTTTTCATATGAAGATGCAAACTGTTACTTAGGTAATTTATACTTTATTTCTTTCTCTGTTAAAGGTTTCTCTTTGGACTCTGGTAAAGGAATTGTCTCCCAAGATGAGATGACTTTTGTGTCTGGTGCCCCAAGAGCGAACCACAGCGGAGCAGTAGTTTTACTAAAGAAGGAAAAAAATCAGAGAGCACTTTCCCTGGAGCACATGTTTGAAGGAGAAGGGCTGGCCTCCTCTTTTGGCTACGATGTTGCTGTTGTGGACCTCAACAGTGATGGGTATGGCTGTGATTAACTCCTGCTGCTGGTACAGCGATCTTGTTTATTTCTGCTTTGGTTTTTCACATTAGAAATACAAGAAATGACAAAGCCCACCTTCCATGTTTTCCTGGAGGAAATGGTGAGCGTCTTGAGAATCAATCAGGATGGAGTCTACCTTTCTAATAAAGAGTTTTATTTAAACAGTTATTGCAAACAGAGAAACAAGAAACCAGTCTCATACCCCAAGAAGACCATAGAAGGTCCTTGTATGCCATCAAGGGAATAAACCAGCTTGTAGTGTCAGCGGGGCTGTTGATGCCCTACAGTTTAATGCACATTTTAGTCTTTGTTCAGCAGCTCTCTGGGTAGCTGATCTTGAGCTCACGGTCTTAGCAGTTATTCTTCAGAGTTCTCCTACAAAAGCATTGCCTTTTCTTTTCCCTTTCATCCAAAGCTGGCAGGACATCGTTGTTGGGGCCCCGCAGTACTTTGACAGAAGCGGGGACATCGGGGGTGCCGTGTACATCTACATGAACCGCCAGGGCAACTGGGCAGGGGTGAAGCCTCTGCGCTTAAATGGAACCACTGACTCCATGTTTGGACTTGCAGTAGAAAATGTTGGGGACATTAATCAGGACGGATACCCAGGTAAATGGAAAACAATGACAATAAAAATGTGTGAGATTGTTTTGCCAACGCCAGACTTGTAACATCTTACCCTTTGATTGCATGCTGCAGAAAGAGCAAGAATGATTTTAGATGTTGCAATTTATTTTCACCAGATATTGCAGTAGGGGCTCCGTACGATGGTTTTGGCAAAGTATACATTTATCATGGATCCAAGAATGGAATAAATACGAAACCAGCACAGGTAATGAAATAACCTTTACTATATAATTATTCTTGAACAAAATTAAAGGAATGACAGGGCTATTATCCATCTTACTTTCCATTGCTATTACTGGAGCATTGGGTATACAGGAAAGTTGCAGGGCCCTTCAAAGATTGCATTGCTGACAGGAAAGATTAGGAATTCTTGTTATTAACAGATATTTTTATTTCTCTGGCCATCCATTGGCACCAGTAATATGTGCAGAAAGAAAAGATGTATAGATCTGGGTTTGAAAAAAAAATCTGGTGCTTGCAAAACAATTAGTTTCTTTGTTTTCTCTTTCATTACTACTATTTCACTTCCTTCTTTAAAATGTTTGGTTGGTTGTTGTTGGGTTTCTTTGGGTTTTTTTGTTTGATTTTGAGGGTCACTGTGTCCAGTTTGCAGGGTGGGAATGGAACTTCATTATACTCCCTAGAATACTGCTTGAATACTTTACAGAATGCTTCTTCTGTTTTAAGTGTTCATAGTCCATAAATACTGTAAATAAACATGAGGGTAATAAACATTATGTAATAAGCATAAGCTCTCAGCAGATCAGTAATTTCTGGTACTCACTGCTATTGGAAGAAGAGCAAATCGTCCTGGCACTTCAGTATCCTTTAGCTGAACTGAACACAGAGATCCTGTTTCACAGGTCCTGCTTCATTGTATCTTTTTCCCTCTTTTGTCTCTGACTGTAAGACAGTTATGTTCAGTTGTCACTTATTTTACCTTTATTGTTTTCAAATGTCTGTTTGCTTTTTAGATTCTTGATGGTGAAAAAACAAACACCAATTTCTTTGGTTACTCTATTGCTGGAAATATGGACCTGGATAAAAATTCCTACCCTGATGTTGCTGTTGGTTCCCTGTCAGATTCTGTAAATGTGTACAGGTATTATACATGGAACCTTAATTAATTACACTAGGGCTTTGGGACAAACAACTTTACTTTTCAGGAAGAACAGCCCTCCCTACAATTTATGCTTCCATCTCTAAGGTGTACAGTATCTGTGCACATAATAGTAATGTTCTTAAATAACTGGAACGGTGCCCAAGAAAAGCAACTCACATGGCTTGTGGAAGAGAACAGAGTAGGTGGTAGAGGAGTTGGTCAGATTATTTAGCATTCTGCTTGCTCAGAAGGAGCTCTAATCTTTTGCTGATAAAGGCAGGACAAAAACTTTTACCAAGGTGAGAAGAAAAACCTCTTATGGTGACAAAGAGTAAAAGGAGTGGCCCAGTTAAGTGGAGCAGGTGGCTTACCAGCTATTTTAAACAACCTTTTGATGCTTTAATGAGAACAGGATCACCTCATTCATTTGTTCATGTGAAATGTCTTCTCCCTTCCAGAAGAGAAAAGACAAGTTGTCAGGCAGAAGTATGGTTACAGCCTACATGCAGAGGAAGCAGGAAATATCATTTCCCACAACTACCAGGCTCCAAATTAAAGCTCTTGTGAACATGAACCTGAATGAACTGTAGTACCTATAGTTGTTCCCAGGGGCTGAATTACTACTGGTGGTAGAAACCACCACTGAATTTTCTGGTTTTTGTAAGTGTAAAGAAAGACAACAACAACATCACATTAGTGTGGCCTGCTTCCCACTCAGGATCTGTAGTTGTTCTCAGTGACCTTTGCTTAGCTTTAATAGTTTTCAGGTTTTTTCGAACCAGTGTCAAAGCCAAACTCTGATTTTCTTGAAGTGTCTTTGTTGCAAATCAGTGCAGGGGTGGAGGGAATCTGTTATTCACATTATTTATTTCATTAATATGAACAGAAGCAACTTCTTTTTTTACATCTTCTTTTTATTCCCCGTTTTTCCCCCAAATGAAGATCTCGGCCTGTGATAAGCATTAGAAGAAACATTACAGTACAGCCTGATAGAATTGATCTAAAGAAAAAGAACCCTGAGGACCATGGTGAAATCAGGTAAATGGAAAAAGAAATTCCTCTATCAGAAGCCTTGGTGTATTGAGCTTTACTGTCAGAATTTATTCAGTGATCATGTTAAGTGAAGGGATATGAGAGTCATGCAGGTTAAGCAAATGTATCTGCATATGTTCATTTTGACTTCCTGAATTTCTTCAGCCTACTGTGCTAAAGACAAGGTGTGGAATATGTCCTTCTCATAACGTTCATTTTTGAAAATTAATGTCACCTTGCCTCTTCAGACTTCTAACACAAGTATCTTGTCTTGAATAGACACATGACAGCAAATGCTTAATTGCTTATTAACCATTTTTTCTTGCTTTATAATTCAGTCTAGTAAGCAGTAAATACCACAGTCATAAGACTGATCAGTTGAAACTTTTCATTCTGTTGGACCATGCCTTAATAAAAGTTAATAATAATTTTTGGCACTTTTTACAGGATGGATGTGAAAGCATGTTTTCAATATACTGCAAACCCTAGAGATTTAAATCCAAGAATAAGTAAGTTCTGAAGATAAGTATTTTTGATCTGTTTGTCACATGGTTTGTTTTTGTTTTTTTTTTTCTTTCTTTAGAGTTCATCATGGAAACATATTACTCAAATTATAGTGAGTCATCTCAACAGTGACTGACAAATTTAAAATGTGACTCAGTGCTAAGCTCAGCTGTTGCACAGTCTGTATTTAGAGCCATGCTGGTGTGTTAAGCTGTTCTGTGGATGACAGACTAAAGCTTTTTAAGTAATACAACTGCCAGTGAGCAAATGGCTTCTATACAGACCCAAACCATTTTGCTTCTCTAGGTTAGTGCTGCTTTAGAGAATCCCTAATCCTTTTTTAAGGTCAATTTTATATATTCTTCGTGAGCATTATTTCTTATTGGAGGCTTACCCTATGAACCTGTCCTGTATTCATGAAAATGGTTTTGTGGAAATCATTAACTGAAATAAAAAAATCTGCATTAATAGGAGAAGACTGGAAGACTATGCCATAAAGATGTAAAGCACTTGCTACAATGCTGCTGTTACAGCTCTTGGAGAACTGTGTAGCATTTTGAGAGGAAATGAGAAGAACTTTAGGGCAATGACCTTTTTTCTCCTGTGTTGTCTTGAATTTCTCAGTTACTTTTACAATCCAACGGCTGTGCCCAAATGAGTGCTGGTCCTGTAGCAGGTGAAGTGTTTGAAGCAGCGCTCAGTGCCTTGGCACACTCAGTGCTGTTTCCATCTGTGCAGCACTGAATTGGCTCGGTGAAGCAATCATTAAAAGATGCACCAAGTTCAGATCTAGAAAAGCATACCTCAGCACACAACTGGACAGCTCTAGTCACACTTCTGCTTTCAGTGTTGAAATTGCCAATGTATCTTGAGCTCAGGATCGTGCTGGCTCTGGCTGGGGTATTTACAGCGGGTAGCTCAGCCCTCTGCTGGCTCCATACAGCAATTACAGCTCCCCCAGCCAGCCCCCACGCCCAAGGGAACGCTTTACTTTGGGAATAATAGGATTTGATTTAGAAATTTTCATTAGATTTACACACGGGGTACCTGGCCCTCAACTGTGGCAGGACAAAACTGACATGGAGAAGTTTGATTTTTTTTTTTTTTTAATGACTGAAAACAGTTTGTGAAGCCCAGCACTGTCTGGAACAGTCTTCTAGAATAATGCTTAAGATGATATCTTGTGCAATTAAAGTTCTTTTTAAAATGATTCTTTGTTTTATAGTGACCTACTTTATTTTTTCACATAGAGATCAATTACACGTTTGAAGTGGAAAATGAGAGGCGGCAGCTGGGCCTGCCCTCCAGGGTGCGCTTCAGTGACCACTCCTCTGATCAGTTCACTGCAAGTACAACCCTCAGGGGACAGAACTCATGGGAGTGTGTCACTGCAAAGCTTATACTGCAGGTAAGGGAGAGTATTTTATTTGTCTTTCATTTAAATCCACTTAAAACAAAAGAATGCTCTTTTTTTGCAGCCTCATGGAAGGAATCTTTGTATGTAATTTTGTATTTAATTTCAAAGTCATATGCAAAACTTCAAAAATAGAAACCCACCATAGTTTACTATTCTCTACACACATGCTGCTTCCTCCTGTTGCCTTTCTTGCAAAGTATGGATAAAAACTGTAGCCACTGCAGCACACTCTGGAGGTCAGTAGAGCTGAACTAATTTAGAACAATAGAGAGCAACTAAGTGCCAAAAATGGAGAGCTGCTTCCAACAGAAATAATTGTTACAGATTTTTATAGTGTGAGTGTTCAGGAAAATAATTTTAACCCGTGGGTTTTAGAGTGGACAAATGGCTGGACAAGAAAGCTTGGTATGTGCTCTCTTGATTTGGCTGCTCTGTGGTAGCTTCTAGAGGTGGAACTGCTGCAGAGGCTAAACAGATTGCCTCACCATGGCTCAGCAGGAATGAGTCAGCCTCCAAGGCTGCTTTTGACCACAGCAGATTAAAGAACTTCAATTTATAAATAGAATAGAATCAATGAATGGTTAGGGTTGAAAGGGACCCTAAGGATCATCTTATTCCAACTCCCGTGCCAGGAGCTGGGACACCTTTTATTAGACCATGTTACTCAAACCTGTTCCAGTGTGTTATTTTACTATAGCTGTGTGAATTTCACCTGCCTGAATTACTGTCCGTGGTTCAAAGGAATTCTTAATGGTGAGACAAATGGTCAGACTGGGAAACCAGAGGAAAAAAAGGACAATAGCACTGGGCTCTTTGTGTTCCTGCATGTTTAGAAAATGCTGAATTTATATACAGTACAGCTCATCTTTATGTTGCTTTTTTCTCCTCAGCACTGTACACTAATGATGCAATTGAAAATATTCTGACAGGAAAAGATTAAAGATAAGCTACGTCCCATTCCAATATCAGTCAACGTTAAAATTGCTGGCCTGGAGTCACCATCCAAGAGAAGAGAGAGTGCACTTCCAGATCTTATACCAATTCTAAATTCAAATGAATCTGAAACAGAGACCACAAAAGTAAGCCTTTGATATATCATACTCACAAAAATCTGTGCTTTTACAAATAACTTAGTTTTAAAGATTGTAGAAAACTATATTATGTCCAAAGGAAATAATTGGGGTGGCACTGGACATGTAACTATTGGATTATCATTTTATATTTTGTTCTGAACTTGTTACAACATGTTACAAACTATGTCCTGTGTTCTTGTGCAACACGTGAAGATGGTATAGCTCCTTGGTTTCTTCCCTCTCCCCAATAAGTTTAGGAGGAAATGTACTTTTGATTAAAAATAGAAATTCATTGTTGTTGGGAATATTTGTCCAACATAAAAAGATAATGTTCGCTCTTAAGTCTTCCATGGTTAGGATGCTGAAATGGCATTTGAGCAATGATTGCAGCAGTGACATGGAAGGGAGGGAATATCTCCATTAAAAATTCTCATTTCCTCAGTGCTTATTGGAGAATCACACTAAAGATGTATTTTCTCATAATAAGGGCACCTCTCATTTACAATTATGCAGCTCTGCTTTTTAGTTACATTTAAAGTTCTAAACTACCAGCATCAAGGGCTGTATCTCACAAAGCAAAACTCAACTCAAGAATTAAGTCAGGTTGAAATCTGAACTCTGTCCAGGAAAGTGCCTTGTGAGTTCCATGTAGCTGCTTTATTCAGTCTGTTTCAGGAATCTGATTTTAAGCTACTGTTGTGTGTCAGGTGGTAAAATTGGTTTGGTGTTATTTAGGTGGAGTTCTTAAAAGAAGGATGTGGAGAAGACAATGAATGTCACAGCAACCTGAAGCTTCAGTACCGGTTTTGTACGAGAGAGGGAAATGAAGACAGGTTTACTTATTTACCACTGTAAGTCTTGATTAATGCACTTCCAAAGTTCAAATTATTAACAAGTCCTTAAAAGAACTTTTAGGAGAGGATTTTGAAAAAGCAGCTTTTTTCTGTGTCTGGCAAACACAGCCCTTAATAGTGGTATTGATTTGTCAGGGTGAGGAATGAGGGCAGAGGGGAAGAGCTTGAGAAGAAAAGTGGTTCAGAGTTGAATGGATACTAAGTGGCCACAGTAGTGCAGGGGAGGACTAAAAGAAAAAAAACGAAGCCAATTTAATACCTGGAGAAATGATATGCTAAACCAGCCTTGCAGTAGTTTATTGTGTGACACTGTTAATTATTTTGCAGGTGAAACTTGACTGTATGACAGTTTGATAGAGTGTGGTCTCGTAGCCCAAGAGAAGTCATTAAAGAGAAATGCAGTGATGATTTACTTGTAACACATGGCCCAGCACCCTGCTGCACCCCTCCTTCCTGGAGGGCCAGTGAAATTAATGCAGGGATAAAACAAACAAACAAACGTTTATTTACTGCCCGCAGTCAGACATTTTTAGCAGCGAGTGCCACACTCAGAAGCCAAACCCATGTATACTTTACAAGTATAAAGCACGTCAGTAGATTGGTTTGGAGGAAATTCCTCACTACATGAGTCAGATGCAAGTGCTGGTTCAGAAATACTATAAACTCCTGATTATTTGAGGGATTTATCATCCTGTTCTTCCTCTTCACTGCTGGCCACTGTCAGATGAAATACTGGTGTGGGGAAAAAAAACCTATCACTGGGAAAAAACCTGACTATGCATGTTCATAGTTTGACTGTGTATGTTCACAGTTTTACTGGAGTTCCCCCCCAATATGGCCACTGTCAGATGAAATACTGGTGTGGGGGAAAAAAACCTATCACTGGGAAAAAACCTGACTATGCATGTTCATAGTTTGACTGTGTATGTTCACAGTTTTACTAGAGTTCCCCCCCAATATGAGGAAACTGTATTTGGTTAAACAATCATAAGAAGCAAACTTGCATACACATTTGTTTTCCTAATGCACAGAACCCTGTACTTTCTGTTTCTGTAGTGAAAACGGCATGCCAGTGCTTGTTCTGAAAGACCAGAAAGATATTGCCCTGGAAATAACTGTGACAAACAATCCATCTGATGTAAAAAATCCACAAAAAGATGGTGAAGATGCATATGAAGCTAAACTAATTGCAAATTTTCCAGACAGTCTGACATACTCTGCATTCAGAGAGATGAGGAGTTATCCTGTAAGTATTTTTAAGAGAAAAACTACTGAAAAATATAAACTATTTCCAGCATATTTTTACTTGTAAATGTGTTCTGTTCAATCAGGAAAAACAGCTGACATGTGGTGCTAACCAAAATGGCTCTCAAGCAGAGTGTGAACTTGGAAATCCTTTCAAAAGAAATTCTAATGTAAGTTGCACTTACTTTACTGTAGTTGTAAGATCTCGTTCTAACTGACCGCGGTCATCCAAAGGTCCTGTGTGTTGCAACTGGAAATCTGATTTGGATCTGTCTTTTTAACTCTAGAACTTAACACCGAAATGTTCTATAACATTTCATTTATCGATATATCTTCTAAAGAGCTCATGTATTTCATTATCTTTCTTCTTGTTTAGGTAACCTTTTATCTGATCTTAAGTACCACTAAGGTTAATGTTGATACAACAGACCTAGACATTAACCTGAAGCTGGAAACGTAAGTTTTCTTCGTGTGCATGCACCTGCACTTTGCTTTGATATACAGTTGTAAACGTTTTGAATTTATTTGTTTGATTCACGGAAGTAATTTAAGAGTAGAGAGAAACCCACTACATTTGTAAAATAAACACCATTGTTTCCTTTTCATTGTAGAACAAGCACTCAAGCTAATTTGACTCCAATTACAGCCAGTGCTAAAGTGGTTCTTGAATTGCTTTTATCAGTCACTGGGTAAGTGTTGATAGCATGACAGATTGGGGGGTCTGGGGACAGTTGTGCTTCAGACTCATTAAAATCTGATTATTCTCCTTTCCCACCCCCACCTGAACAGAGTTGCTAAGCCTTCTCAGGTATATTTTGGAGGTAACATCATTGGTGAGAGTGCAGTGAAATCTGAAGATGATATTGGAAACCTCATAGAGTATGAATTCAGAGTGAGTAATTTACATTGATGCCAACAGCTGCTTTTAATCAAATGCACAGCTTCTTGCTTATGCATATGAATATTTTAAAAAGTTAGTATAATGGAATTTGCTTTCTTTGGCCCAAAAACCTAACTTCCTGTTCAGAACATGCAGTTTGACTGTGGACTAAAGCTTATTTAGGTGTTGATATTTTATCAATTTTATAAAAAAGAGGTTGGGAAAACACTTTCAGACTTACAAGAGTAAGAGCTTGTTGTCTGTGTCAGAGTTCATCAGAAACTTGCAGTTTGCCTCACTTACGCAACTGACTGATTTGTTAACTCTAAATTTGAATTGTCATTTCACATGAAGATTAATTTCTAAAAATCAACCACTAAAAGTTCATGTTAGGGAATTCTAATCCTTCTATGTATTGCTCCTCAAGTATGCTAGTTTTAGTATATGCTTTGTCTTTGTACTATTTTGACTGCCTTTCATCTGATCTAAGTTTCCTGTTAGCTGCATGCTTAAAGCTTGTCCAAATCAATAATGTTTTCAGGAAGAAAATCCCTCTGAAAAGTATTTCACTCAAGTTTAAAGAAGGTTTATTTTAATAGGTAACTAACTTGGGCAGACCACTGAAAACATTTGGCACTGCTTCCCTGGACATTCAGTGGCCAAAAGAAATTAGTAATGGCAAATGGCTGCTTTATTTGATGAAAATCGACTCCAAAGGCTTGGAAAAAGTCTCCTGTCAACCCGAGGGTGAAATCAACAGTTTGCGTGTTGCGGTACGTTACCCCGTGTTCTGTGGGTGAATCGGTACAACGTGGAAGCACCCGCAGCAAGTGAGAGTAGGCCATGAGAGCTTGCTCTAGGAGGAGTTACCTTTTGTCTTAAGCAGCTCACAAGCACTGTACCGGGCCAGTTAGCTGTGAATAAGCCTAGCAGGAGAATTCTTACCAGCTCACGAGGCTGATATGCTAAAGGATAGATGCTATGACACAGTGACTGTTCATGCAATGGGCACTGCTGTCATAGGCTCTTATACAGGATGAAACTGCTGACTGTTCTAGCAAACTTCATCAGTATTATTGAAAACTGCTCAGTAATAAAAGCATCTGAGTTCTTACTCAAAAAAACAACAAATCACTAAATATCTTCCCAGCCTAGGGGCATTCCATGTCCTTTTTCTGAAGACAGGGAACTTGAACCTAAATTTATTTATTTATAACAATTATAATCAGAAGCAATTTTCATAGCCCTGGATTGTGCCCATCTAGCAAAATCTTTTTCCTAAAACTTAAGCTGTATTTTTTTCTTCATATAATCTTAAGATTATATGGGAGGAATTTTTATTTTCCACCATTAAAACTGCATGCACATAAACCTGTTTTTGTCAGATAATTGTATTAGTTAATATTAAGTTGGAGTGTAATTAGTATACAGTTAAAAAAAAATCGTGCATCTACTGACCACAGCACATTCTTACTCTTTCTTAAAAGAGTACCATTAATACTCTTTATCTAGAAATAAAAATGGAAATAGCATTGAAAGCTTTATAAATCTAAACCTCCCTTTGCCCTATTAAAGAAAATAGTCTGTTGGCCTTTCTTTTGGTAATCTCAAATTCTATTCTTAGCAGTAAATGTAGTTAAGTAGGGCTATATAATGCTATCAGTCATGTGCTGATTTTGGAAGAAGAAAACACTGAGCTCTAGTTTCTCTGCTTGTATGAATTAAAAGATTCTTACGATAAACTGCTTTTTCTTCTTTTACTTTTTCTTCTTTGTAGGAATCCCATAACTCAAGAAGAAAGCGTGAAGTTGCAGAGAAGCAGATTACAGATGGCCAGGCATTCTCCTTATTCTCAGAAAGAAAATACAAGACCTTGGTAGGGATATTGCAGCAGCTCTATTCTTGTCAGATACCTCCCTCGGCACTCGAAAGAGGGCTTTTCTGAGTTTGGCAGAGTGAGAGAAATTATCTCTTTCCCTTCTTTTTATCTTACATCCAAATATTGATGCTTTTAAAATTCAAACATTTAGATCATCGACTGTGAGGAAGAACTAGGAAAGAATATCTGCATAGTTACTTACCTTAAAATAAGCAAGTAATATCATCTTCATTGTATTTTCCCATTGCTATCAGTACAAACAGATAGTGGTTCTTGCATGTAGGTATAATGCATATAATCCCATTTTTAATCTTGGGGTGAGGTTTAAACAATCTGTGAAGATGTGATCCTACTCACATGTAGAAATGTGCATTTGCAGAGCTGCAATATGAATGCACGCTGTGTGGATATAAAGTGTCCCCTGAAGGGGTTTGACAGCAAGGCATCTATTGTGCTGCGTTCCAGGCTGTGGAACAGCACCTTCCTGGAGGTAAGTCCTCTTACCTGCCCTTCTTGAAAGGTCAGAGTTCTTTCCTGTTCTGTGTCTAATACTTGCTTTTTGTTTTGGAACAGGAATACTCAAAAATGAATTACCTTGACATTGTGGTTAGGGCTTCTATCAGTGTTCCTGCTGCAGCTAAGAATGTTAAACTCACAAATGAAGTTGCTCAGGTAGGTTCAGTGTGTAATGCTAACTACATGTTATGGTTGTGGGTGTTCTGCCTTATCTCCAAAGACCAGGAATGAAACAAATTTAAAACAAAACTAGCTAAAAGTTTAACTTTCTAACTGAGTTTTGAAGTATTGTTAATTTTTACCCTTTAATGGGGTTGAACAAATCAATTACCATACTGAAATGATACCAGTGGGAACTTTTTCTTTAAAAGCATTTTGTAGAAGACATTTTGTTAGAGGAGAGGTAAGACTATATAAATTGCAGCTTTCTAATTAAACATGTACCTTCTGAAATACTCCTTCCACATGCACATTTTCTGTCCTGCAGGTGCGTGTTACTGTATTTCCTGCAAAACCAGTAACCCTTTATACAGGGGTTCCATGGTGGATCATTGCAGTGGCTATCCTTGCTGGAATACTCATGCTTGCACTCTTGGTATTCTTACTATGGAAGGTGAGCTTTTATTAATCTGGTTATTTTTTATTTTCTGGTCTATAACTGACAAGATAGCAAACTAATTAAGTATTTGGGACTCAGAATAGGGCAAAACTGCACAAATCACACATTATCAATTTCTCAGATCTGCAACACTTGGAATTAAAATGGTTGTACGGGCGGACTTGTTACATAATTTTTCTATTTTCACATCCTCAAAAGGAAGTATTTTGAGCTCCAGATGAAACTTGAGACAAATGTTCAGAGGCCATAGTTTGATACAGACGGATAGAGCCATTGGGAGCCTCTGCAGTTGGGTGTAAAACTTCATGTGAGCTATTTAGAAATGTTTTAGTTCTCAAAACATGAGAAATACCATTAAATTGACAGTAGATTAAAATAACCAAAAGCACAGTATTAATACATAGCCATGTGTGCTAGTGAATTTCTTATTATTGCTTTTTTATATTAGAAACCTTAAAGAAATAAATAAAGAGATCTAACAAATGGTTAACTATTTGCAAAAGAAAAAATTAAGTATCTTTTTTCTAATTACCTTTGTAAAAATGCCAGTTATTTGTGGTCTCAAGTATAACAGAGCAATCCTTTCATTCTTACTTTTCATAGGTTAGTAGTATTTGCTGTTATTGGATAGCAGAAGGTTATTTAAGGAAGAGGAGGTGAAGAATATCCTGTTACGTTTTTCCCAGTGAAACTGCAGCAGTTAGCTTTGAGGAGCTATTTGCTGCAATTTGCTTCCCAGAGGATAGTTCTGATTTCCTTATTTTGTAAAAAATGCCCAGCTGCTCCTGTAAATACTCCTGATAAATGAATACTGGGTGGGCTGTTAGGTTCTAACTAGTAGTGTTTTACTGTGCATGAAAATACAAACATTTTTCACATGCACACACAGTGAGAAATGCTGCTTTGATGACACAAACTGTGCTGTTCTGTGAAGGACAAACATCGTGCTGGAAAGACAGATACATCATTGGTTTAAGACAAAAGCTTGTATTGAAGGGGCCAAAGCAGTAACTGGTTTTCTTCTACACCCTGTGGTTTTGTCTGTCCCATGCACGAGTCCACAAACAGGTTTCTGTAATTGGGTTCTTTCTGCTCTTCACAGCTACCTTCACTCGCTATGGACATACTTTATTGTAGCTTTTCCTAAAAGAACCCCAAACAGATTCTCTACACATTTATCAAAATATCTCTGAAATAACAGTCTCAGGTTACTCTGTTAATAAGTTATTCTATTCTGTTATTGTATGGATCAAGTTAGCCCAAGAAGTTTTCAGATCTAGAAACAGCTGAGTTCTTGTAATGAGTTTTTTAGTTTGGTTTCTTTGGCCCTTGTAGGAATAATGGGAAGACAGTTGATGGACTTAAGTCGGTTTTAAGAGGTTTGACTTCTTTCAGTCCACAAAAAATGACTAAATACCTTGCTTCCTTGTAGTGTGGTTTCTTCAAGAGAAATAAGAAAGATCATTACGATGCCACATATCACAAGGCTGAGATCCATGCTCAGCCATCTGATAAAGAGAGACTTACTTCTGATGCATAGTACTGATCTACTTCTGTAATTGGTAACTGATGATATTTTTTAATTTCTAGCTGTGGCACATGCTATGGTTGCAGTGGCTAACTGTGAAGCTTTTTCTGCATAAGTTCTATTAACTTTTGGATTTCAAGCTATCATGCTTGCTTGCTCCTTCTGTTGATAGAGTTTCAGCTTTTGGTGCATGTGAACACACAGAGGTTTACCCTGGTCTAAAATGCTTTATTTTCTTTTTTTTTTTTTTTAAACATGGTGATCTGTTGCAATGGGCTTCATTTTTTTTTTTTAATTTATGCTTTACCATTACAAGTAAGTCTTTAAGCTTGCAAGATGGGAATCAACACTGTAGAGTTAAGATGCAAAGATAAGACTGCAGCAACAATACATAAATTTGCTTTACTAACCTTTAGTGCATGCTGTACACGTTGCTTACATCAGAGAAGGGTTTTCATGAGAATTTACTTCTGTGGAAACATCTGTTTTACTTGAGTCCTAAGGTACTTCTCTAGGAACACACTTTGCTGAAGTTACAAGATGCATGATAATGATGATTTGTATTTCCAGCAACCTTTATTCCACTTATGTGCATGTATATTGTATCCATGAGTGTGCTTGGGATAAGGGAGGGGAGAGGAATTCTTAATGAATTATTTCAAAACAGTGTTTAATGAAACTATGAGATGGCTAAAGATTTGGTCTTTGCTCACTGTAATTTTTTTAAATTCAGTTCTCAGTTCTAATATTAAGAAACCTCCAAACCGTTGACCAAACAGAACCAAAAAATCCAGCACCCTAAATATGTGGAAGAAAACTTGCTTGCTTTAACATGTTTTTACCCCCAGCAGTATCTAATGACAGCTGGATGGCACAATGTCTCCTAACCTGAATCTTGATCCATAAGGATGATCAGTGATCCATAAGGATGTAAAGCTGAGTGTGTACCATTCATGATCTTTATATATTGTGGCCATAGCTCCCTTTTGTTTTGGAAATCAATTTTAGTCCATGCTTTGATATTCACAATCACGTTTTACAGTGGCTTTGAATAAAAAACTGCAGAGTGCAGAGAAGCTGTTACAGGTGTCATCCAGGGCGACTTCCAATGGCAAGCAAGACTCATGTTTCTAACACAGCATATGTGTAGTTAGTTCAGGTAACTGAAGTGGTGCTATGAAAACCAAGGCCCTTAGGGTAACTTTTTTTGAATGTTCTGGAAGTCTTTCTGTACGTTCTTAAGGGTAAATCATGTCATCATACAGGAAGACACTGAAGTACATACCTGCCTTTGATTCAGGAGAAGCAGCTCTCCTGTGTGTAGAAGTAAATGTCCTCATTAGATGAATGAACAGCTTTGTACTGGAGGGAATATTTTTAAGGGATTTGATTACCACGGATAGTCAGAGCATGCCCTTTGTCTTTAACTGCTGCTGAACAGCTAATGCAGACCTCCTGGCTCACATTTGTACAGCTAAATATGCTACATTTTTGGCCTACATGATTTTGTTTTCAATTTTATTACCTGCATATTTGTGTGATGGAAGAATTTACTGCCTCTGCAGTTGCAGTATTTTGGCAGCAACTTGGAGCTGAACTGTTGTTCTCCTTCTGTGCGCAGTGCGGGTTCTTCCGGCGCTCCAGGTACGAAGACAGTGTCCCCCGCTACCACGCTGTAAGAATTCGGAAGGAGGAGCGACAGATCAAAGACGGGAAAAGCCAAGACCTTGAGACAAAACAGTGGTTGACCAAATGGAACGAAAATGAAAGTTATTCTTAGGCAAAAATGTTGTTTATCCACAAAGTTCAGATAGAGGTTAAGGTTTTCATTCATGGAATACTGATGGAGTTAGACCTGTGAACACTATATACATTCACCATTTGATTGTAGATATTACTACTTATATTGAAGCTTTTATTTGCACAGTTAAAATGGCTTCAACAGACTTCATTTGCCTTATTTAATTTCCACGCTGCCTCTTCATCCCCCTTAAATCTAACCCACACTTCAGATAATATTATGCTGATGTGGGGGTCTTTTCTGCAAAATGAGCAAAACCACTACAGCAGATGTGATCCTCCTGTGATCCTGACTTTCTTCCTAGTTATTTAAGGCATGAATGATTAAGGTCAAGATGAGTTCTCCATTGTTCCCTCAATGCACAGTGCTTTATAAACACACAGTGGCCTTATCACACTTTGTTCAAGTATAACTGAAGGCCTGCAAGTCTGCTTTAGTCATAACCCTTGCCTGCTGCAGTAGTTAGGGCTTAACAAAAAGCATCATCTTAAATTACACGTGCAATGGGTCATGTTGCTCGATTTTGGGCTTTTTATTTTTTAAGATCAGATTGTGTGATTCTTGTTCACAACAATACACACAGGTTTTGTTTTAAGAGAGGCTTGAATATTAAATGTACTTTCTGTATATATATATTTTAGTCATTTTTGTATTTATTTTTATTATAAATCATTGTCTTTGACTAACTGGTAGGCTGAAGACTACTGAATTTTGAAAACCATTGTTCTGGTTTTTATGTTTCTGTGCTTGAACTTCAGATTATGAGACCTGAGGCTTTCACCGCATTTTAATAAATCACTGAAGGTGCCAATGCTTTCTAAAATGTAAATATTTATGCAAATGATGTGTATGGGTGCTTTCTTTTCCTGATGCTTGTAACATCAGGTCCTGTAACATGATTTGTATACTACTGTGGACTGTTTAACAGTTTGGACACCAAAGTGAAGTAATGTTTTAGATACCATTTTATCCTCACTGCAAGAAAGTGAAAAGTCCTTTGGAAACCTCTTTCCAGCTTCACAAGGACTTCCTGGTCGGCAGAAAGCCTTGACTACTGCAGCTGTTGTAGAGCACTTGGAGGCTGGAGATGCCTTACCTTAACTGTCAGGATCTGAGCTGATCCACGTTGAGACTACTGAATCATCTTGAATACCTGAATGTTGATAAAAGTAGAACCATGTTATTAGTAATTGGTTATTGTAACATAACTGAGAAATGATTTAGAGAGTTTACTTTTTTACCCATATTCTAAAGCTTTGGTACTATTTAGGAACAAAGATTTAGTTCACAGTTGTGTATTCCATGTGGAACAAAATTCTGCTCAAAAAGTATGCATGTTAATTGCTTGTACTATGAACTATGCAAAAACCTCTTGGTACTTTTTCTCCTCATAGGGTAAAAACCTGCTAGGAGGGCAGTTGTCAAATGTCTTATTTTTACTGCTAACTTTGAATGTACCTTCTTGGAAGGTGTGGTCACCTAAAAAGTTACCTTTAGTGTTAACTAAGGTGAGTCTATTAAACTAGAGAATCTCAGTGTGTTATGACCCTGACTTTATAAACTCTTACATAATTATGTATTAATATCTTTAGATAATAATACATAATTAATTATGTATTAATATCTTTTAGAATCTTAGCTTATTTGCTTAAAGGCTCAGCAGCATCAGAAGCCAGGCTAATGAGGGGCTAAGAAGCTTGAGAAATACCCCTGAGTATAAAATCAGATTGTGGCCCTCATCTAAGAACATGAATGTCTTAGCAGCGTTAAAGTTCTTGAAAAAATAAGTCACATCACTGGTATATTTTTATCTCAAACTTTGTTATACCAGCTAAGAATGCTACATCATTCCATGATTAGAAATTACCTGTGGATATTTGTATAGAAGTGTGAAATAAATTTTTTTAAATTAAAGATGGTCTTGGTAATAGTGATTGTATCATACTTAACGGAGGTGGCCACAGCTAAGTTCCCCTGAAGAAGAGGCTGAAAGTGGCAGGCTCTAACAGGTTGTGTCCCAGCACTGCCCTGCTCCATGCAAGGGGCAGATAAGGAGCAGCAGAGATGAGGCACAGCCTCAGGCTCTCAGCTGCTTGCTGCCATTGCCAGCAGGGCAGGAGTCAGAGCCTGTGCCAGCTCCCACCGGGACATGGCTCCCCTCTCATGCTGCCCCAGAGCCCTTCCATGCAAGCAGCCTCCTAGAAATCCTCTTAAATAGTGCCAGGCAAGTATTTGAGTAAGTAGTGGAGATGGCTACATCCCCCAAAATTGGTCAAGGATTTTGCATACCTATTTGTATTTATTTAGCAGTGGAAATTTGATAAAACACAATTGCAGGGTAGTAGAGAGTCCACCAAAAAAGCCCTATGGAGAAGCCAGAGTTATGCAGGGAAAAAATCCTCCCAAACCCAACAAGCAAAATGTGGCTCCACCTCTAAGATATTAGCCCTCACTGGATGCTTTTACTCATTGTTGCTGAACGGCCTTTTGATGCACCAAAGCCCAAAGAAAAAGGTTAGCTGGATATATGCTAGGCCACTCCTTGGTGTTGAGGCCAAGCAGCTTCCAGAACTAGACCCAGAAGGTGTCGCTAGACCCTTCAGCACATCTCAAAGATAAGACCTCAACCTGCTCTTACTAAGCAATTACTCTACATGCTGGCCACAAACATTTGTCTACAAGAAGACAAAATATCAATTGTCAGAGCAGTTAAGTAGCTGATCGTAGTAAGTTTTGAGCAAATCTAGTATATTGGGCTTTATATGTATGCTCATATATACCATACACATAATAGTACTAGATGTAGTCTATACAATATATACAGTGGTGCAGCACTCTAATAGGGTATGTGTCCAAAGCGTATGCATATATGTGATATATAAAACTTAGTCTTCACTATATATAATGTGTGTTTTATATATACAAAAATATACACACTCTACATAGTCCAAGGTAAGAAATGGAGTGAAAAACTGCAATGCTTTCCTATACATTTAACTGTTGCAGCACAGCAGACACCTTATAAGAGAATATACCTTTCAATTTAAGGGACCACCACAGCTCAGTTCCAGTAGCCACCTGTCCATAATTATATGTGGAAAAGGCAACAAGGTGCTCAGTTGGACACAAATCAAGAATCAGCACATGAGGTAAAAGAAACTCCTGAAAGGGGCACTGGACCCCCATGCCCATAAAGCAGCCTTGTTGCAATGCTGATGATCATGGCTGCAGCGTGTCCTCCCTGCACAGACTGCACACAGCCAGGGAGCTGCTCATGTTCAACAGCTGCAGTAGCTTTTCCCAGCACAAAGCCAGCGTGTCAGCAGTTGGTCTGCAGGGGCCGGGAGACCAAGCTGTGACAAACAACCAGGCAGCTGCAGGCAGTGCTCTGAGCCAGCTCGGCCGTGCCTCAGCTGCCTCACCAGCCAGCAGGGCTGTGTGGCACAGCAAGGGCACGAGTGTCTTTCCCTCCAGGGATTGCAGAACCGGTTGCTTTAGTTTTTTATTCCAGTCCTCAGATACCTTTCAATGTCTATCTTTCCAGGCCCCAGAGTCATAATTCATACTATACACCTTTTACAGGCTCATAAACCTTGCTGAGTCCTAACCTTGTAAAAAAAACACCACAAAACTCCTTATCCCAAAAGACTGCTGCTGTAACGGGCCTTAAACCCCAGCCAAGGTGTGACATTGTCACTATGAAGGCGTTGGGGACCTGCAGTTTGCATTTTTCATATTGCAAGAAAGACCCCTTTCTTCCTTTTCTAGCTCTGCAAAATGTTTGTTTGCAAGCAGCACCTTTTCAGGGCCCTACCTGCCTCAAATATCCCAGAAAACATAGAGAACAGATTTTTGCAAGAGGTGTCCTTGCTGCTGCAGACCAAGATAAATCCCTCTCATCGCTGATACACAATGCTAACTATGTATTCTATCCCTCTGCAGTATTAGATCTTAAAAAATAAATAAAATTGAAATTCAACTAAACATTGTATTTTCAGTTCTTCTGGGGTCTGAATTGTTCTGTCCCATTTAAATTATTGATCCAGATGTATCAGAATTTCAACACCACCAATAAGCATGAATGAAAGAATGAAAAATGCAAAATAATGAAAATAATACATTTCTGCTTTTTGGTTTGCATAAAAATTCACAGAAATTAATACATTATAGCTCTGGTCAGTGTCACATTGGATCATATCAGAGCAAGCTCCTAGAAAATCATCAATGACAGAAACAGGTTTTAGGAGAGAAAGAGCATTCAAAACTTTCTCCAATATTCTAACAAAACATGTTTACATGGATCAGGATCTGATCGATTGTTCAAACAAGATGAGGAAACACCCTTAGGTAAATAGAGAGGTTCTTATCTGAAAACAGCATTGAAAGAATTATCCACCATTCTTTTATCCAGTTAATTCTGTGACTGCTCATCCTGCACACCTTCTTCTAAGAAAAGTGCTCTCTGTTTACGTGACTGTGAATGGTCCCCAGCTTCCAATGCACAATGATTTATTTAATCTCTGGCAGCCTTTGCCACATCTTGTGCCCGGGGACTGCTGTCCAAAGATAACTTTAGGCAGAAGGCCAGTTTTGAAGGCATGTCTGTAAAGCTGAAACACCAAACACCACAGTAATATACACATCTAAAAGATGAAGCCAATCCAGAGCCATCATAAGAAATTGCAACAGTTTACAAAGACTCCATGTACTGCTTGTAAGCACTGCTTTAAACTAGTGCTGGCTCACAGCTGAGGCCATCATAAAGTGGCTTTGGGCACAGCAATTCTCAAGTACAAGTTCCAAACTATTACAAACCTGAGCAGCATGAGCTCCTCCTTGGTGTTCCAGGAGTGGCCTACAAGCAGCAATGAGCAAAACCTGCCAACAAGCTGTATTTGTAGGAGCCTTGCAGAGCCAGACAAGCTGTTTGCCCCATTAGCCAGCACTCCCTGGCCAGAGCAGAAGCCGCCATTCCGTTTGCAGCATAAAGATTAAGGTATGGCTGCATTACAAACCAGATGAAAAAACCAGTCTAATCCTGCTTCATTCTCACTCAGTATTGGTGCAGTTCAGGAAACTGCATCTGGAGGCTGGCTGAATCAAATGTTTTCTGTATTTCAGTGCAACATGAACAACAAACAAGGCAACTGTAAATGGGAGGAATCCAACAAAGCACTGAAGGGATTAACGTGATTGCTGTATCAGAACTGCTCTAGTGGATGCCACAGGATATCCATGCCCTCTCTCATGTCACAGACAAGTCACAGGTACCAGGCAGGAAACCAATCAATACTGAAAAGTTGATTTAATAAATATATGGGGTGAATACTAAAATCCACAATAGAAAAAGGAAATGAATGCAGGGCATCATCCACTATTAATATTGTTATTCTCTCTTTTCAGGAATGGCACTGGGAAAAATAAGCAGCACATCTCCACTGGAGATCAGGTTAGCCATCAAAAGACTGCTTATCCTTCTCAGAGGAGCAACCATTGCCAGCATGAACCAAATTTGATTCACACATCAGCAAGTTCTCACAGGCTGGAGACCATCACTTCTTTTCTTTATTTTAATCAATATGGTAACTGTAGCACATTCCACACTATCTATGTTTCTTCATTGTGGGTAAAATCTACTGTTAACAGTAATTATAAGGGAAGGTCATGAGGGCACCTTGCCCACTGAAATGCAAAAGGTACATTGGGATAATGCTTCTTATTGAACAGTATTTCAGTATGGTGTAGTGTGGAGAATAACCTGATGGATGGCACTGTTGAAGAGGCCTTCCTGATACATATTAACATTTAACAAAAACCATAATAATTAGGTAACCAAAAACTTCTCTCCAATTTCAACTGGAACACAGCATTAACCTGTTTATAGGCAGAGAAGCAAGAGGTGACTACACTGTCACTCTGTGGAGCAGCTGAACTGACTTCAGACATGGGGGCGTTGTGATGGTGCATTCCCTCCCACACCTCCTCAGGCCAGCTCTATGATTTCAGGAGTCACCTCCCTCAGCTGCAGTGCTAATGAAACTGCACCACTGCTACTGGACTTTTCTCCCTCAAAATTTCCAGCACTTTAAAACTTGTTTTATGGCTAGGATGGAAATATATTTTTGAGTAAAGCCAAGCATTTCCTGACCCAGTACCAAGAGAGGCCCTTTGAACTCTGCCACACCCCAGCAGGTGTGACCAGCACCTCTCAGGTGGGACACCAGCTGGAGCTCATGACCCCTCAAGCCTGCCATACAGGAAAGTCCATTCCCCTACAGCCCTGCAGGAGCAGCTCTTGCCCACTGAGAAATGTAAATGGATTTGATGCATTCCACCGAACTCAAGGGGAACTTTGCAGAGGAACTTTGTACACAGGTATAGATGCACACACCTCTGTGCCTGGGTGTGAATTATGGCCTACTCACTAACAGAGTGAATCTTGCCTTCAAACTCTGCTAGGGCATGAGGTTAAACCTGTATCAAATACTAAATTATTAAAGCAGGTATGCTTACCAAAACAAAGGTAGAATTATTGAAAAATTCATATTATTTGAAAGTAGCTAAGTGCTTGCTTGGCATAAGTAGCTAGAATTGTTATAGCAAGCTGAGCTATATGGCTACATTGCATTAGTCAAAGATGGATCATAGTGAAACCTGGAACTAACAGCCTAAACATTACTAATAGTTAGAATAGACAAAACTGTAATTTAAATATTACTCAAATATTAATAGCTGGAGCAACCACATTATAACATGGACTACAGAACTGACAGAAATCACCACAGAAACAGACCTAAGAGGATGTGAAAATGATCACATGGCAAACACTTGGTAACAAAACAGCAAAGCAATGAAGGTCAAGAAGGGCCCAGACTCTGTTATGGTATTGATCCACACCGTTGTGTGCAGTTTAGACTGTAATAATAATTGCCCAGAGATTTCTTAGTCTGGAGGTCCCTCGTTTGAGGCACCTAGCTCAAGCTACCAAAATTTATCTGTGCTGATAGATCTGATGGAGATGAGAGCCTAGTGTCAAAGATGTCTTTAACATCTACACTGCAGAAAGTTTATCAGAAATGCTTATAATCACTATTAATGGCCCTTTTTTTGTTAGTATTCTAGATATTTATACGAGAGCAGGACAATAAACCATTCAATACACAGTTTGGTACCTCACATGTTGCATTTGAACAGGCAGTAAAGTAATTCACTGTGACACACAGTCCAAGTGCTTTTCTACCAACACAGACATATTGTGCTCACTGCTGACCGATCAGGAGTGCATCTGTAAAAGCAGAAGCCCTATTCTTCCTCTGTGTTTTTTATTTGATTATTTTTTTTTTCTGGTAACTGAAAGAAACCGCAGCCGGGCAGACACAGGTGCCACAGTGAGAAGACGCACGGCTGTTTAAGCCCGATGTCCTCGGCTGAGGCTCTGTCCTCCCGCCGGCCCTTCTGTGAGTTTCTACAGTTCCCGTTCCAGCCCGCGGCTCACCCACACCGGGAACCGAGTCCCCGCCACGGCTCCATCCCAGGCCGAGAGGGAGCCCCGGGCACCGCAGTGCCCAGCGAGAGCCGCTGGTGCACGGGCATCTCTCGGCCTCGCCGCGGCCCCTGCGGTCCCGGCCCCCGCACCCAGAGCCCTCACAGCTCCCCGCCTGTGGGCAGGGCGCACCCGCAGCCCCTCGCCGGGCAAGCGGCGGCCCCGGCACCCGTAACGTCGCGTACCTGTGCGCGGCCGGGCTCCTCCGCGATGCGAGCGTCGCCTCCTCCCGTCGGGCCCTCGAAGCGCCGGGGACAGCTGAGCGTCCGCCTCAGGCGCCGCCAGGCAGCTCCGGGCCCCCCCCGCCCCGCTCCCTCAGAGCCGCCCTCTCCCCCGCCCCGCGCCGCTGCGGGGCCGGGCCGGGCGGAGACAGCCGCCCCCCTCGGGCACCTCCTCCCGGCGGCGCAGCGGAGGCGGCCGCGGCCTGGGCTGGGGCCGGGGGAGCGGCGCGGCGGGAAATGGCGGCCGGGCCGGGCCGGGCTAAGCTGAGCTGAGCTGACGGCACAGAGCTGCACCATGAGGCTGCTGCGCGCCCTTCTGCGCGGCGCTGCCCCGGGCAACATCCCGCAGCAGGTGGACTTCTACTCACGCTTCTCCCCCTCGCCGCTCTCCATGAAGCAATTTCTGGACTTCGGTGAGTCCTCGGCGAGCCGCCCTCGACCGCTGCCCCTCCTCCCACAGGTGCCTGTGAGGAGCGGGACGGCCACGACCCCTCACCCCGTCAGCGCTGCCCGGCTGTTGCTTATCTGTTAATGCTGCGTTTCTGGCAGAAAAGGGCTCTGCTTCCTTCTGGGGCAAGGGAGCCCAGTTGGCTCGTTCCCGAAGACCGCGACTGTGGCAAGGTTGAAATGTTGCTGAAAACTCCAGTTTTTGGCACCAGCAGGCTAGTTGGGTGTTTTCCTGCAGAGCCCGCAGTGCTGGGGAGAGGATGGGAACAGCTGTGACAACTGGTAGCGTTAGAGCAGTGACTCAGACAGGTGAGACTGGTTAAGGCTTCTGCTGAGCAGCACGCAGCCTTTTAAAGGCATCTGCCAAACACGTGAAGCGTTCAGCCTCAGCTGGCACGAGGGGCTGGAACAGTCATCACTGCTCTGTCACTTGGCCTGTGCCCTACAGAAACAGCCTGGCCAAATGTTGCCATTTTAAAAGGTGTGTGAGAAAAGGAACAGGATGCAGACACCGGGAGCCATCCTGGAGGTTTGGAATCTAGTCTTGAAACTGAGTAAATCAGTAACAGGATACTCAATCTTACACTCAGTGCCAAAACCACTTCTAATGCTTCCAGGCTTGACTGTCAGCTTGGAAAGAAAAGGGATCACAGGAATTGTTCTATTCTGCTTCAAAGCAAATAGAGAAAGGTTGTGTAAGTCACACTGAGACATCTTTTCAAAGCCTGAGGTTGGAGCCATTGTATTGTATGTTTCATTTTCTGTACCCAAGGGTGTGCATACATGTTTACGTGTTATATATTTCAATAGTTTCATGGCTTTTTATAGTTTTGCAAATAAAACCCAAGTGACAACTAATCCTAGAACCCAAGACTTTGAATAAGCAGGAAGACTTACAAACAAGATTTTCTCACAATTATCTGCTATCAGTTCATCCATCTATTCAATGTTTCACTTGTGCAATGAAATGTATCTGACATTTAAAACTCCAGATTCCTACAGGAACTTCACCATATGTTCTGTTGCCACTGTACTTTTAAGCAAAGAACCTTGCAATTCAGTTTGCTTTGACTTGTCTTATTTTACCATTACTGATAAAATGCTTACCATAAAATCAATGTTTATTTTCAAGGCACACTATTTCCTTGTGTCAAAATATAGGCTACTTTTTTGCTCTTAGTACCTGAACATAAGGTAAAAATAGTCTTGAAAACTTCTACAATATTTTTTTCCTCTCTTTTGCTTAAGGATTTAATCCTTACAGATTTAGAGATCCTTTACAGAGAGTAAAATCTAATAACAAAGACTGCAACACAGAGACAATATTTCTCTGTAAGACATTCTGTAGCCATTATAATCTGATGGTGTTTACATTAAGGATTTTTTTTTGCTCCTTTTGCAGGAATGAGAACAGTCAACGAGGAAATAATAAAATCTGGTAAAGCTAACTTAAAAAAAATGGAATATTCTGTAAGCAAATTCAGGTTTGGTCTTGGGTTATAAGACCACAGTATTTTCTGTAGGAGTTTTATCCATTCTTTGCCTAGATACAGACTGTAGCTGCACATAGGAAGAGAGTCATTTGCCTGCTCTATACTGCCTTCCATATTTGACCCAAAATTGCAAAGAGAAGGCCTTCAGATACAAAAACTATTTTGTGAAATGTAATTTTTTGAGAATGAGGCATTTAACAATTGTATTTACACCTTAATACCTCCAATCTGATTTGTTCTTGGAATTTTACCCAAGAAAAGGGAAAGGCCAGTAATAGTCATGCCTGTGCAATCTGAGTAGGGAGAAGAATGAAAGGTTTCTAGGCAGAGGTCTTGTGTAGACAGTGCCTAATGCTGGTAAGTGCCATTGTGGAGGAATTTCTTGTAAATTATTCACTTTTTAAATTAACTGACATTCTTTCATCACTGTAGTTTATGTGTCTGAGTCTGCATGCTTTAAAGTAAACTGCTCTATATCAATGTGGTGAAAATTTTTCATGTTTAAGGCAGTCCCAGCTTCCTTTTTTCTTTCCTCATCCCTTCCTTTAATCTTCTTTCCCAACTTCCCCTTGCCAAATGGAAGGAGTGAACTGAGCAGTAACACAGGAGTTGATTTGTAGGAGATACATGTTGTGAAACACCAGACCTGAAGTACACACTCCACTGCAGCAGATGGGCAGGTTAGAAGTTCAGAAGCTGTTTATGTGACAGTCTTTAAGTCTAGAAAGAAGTCTGGCTGAGAACGAAGTGCAGCATTTCTTAGTCTCTTCCCCATGCTGCACCCTCTTTTCTCACCTGGGAAAACAAGCGTTGTGGGAGTACAAGCAGGTCTTGATTTTAATAACCACATTTGATTGCCACCCCCGCAGATGACACTTGTTCTTACAAAAGGACAGGTCAGTTATCAAAAGAGGCAGTATTTTCACTTCCAGCTTTTAAAAATGTAAAAATTTAAATGTATTAGTATCCTAATGGCTAAGCAGAGTAGCTGTCCTACTTCAATTTCTTTCTCACTATTCATGTGAATTTGTTCACCTGACTTCTGTTCCTGTAAGACTGAATTAAAACTATAACAGATTTAGTTGAAAATGAGATCTCTATTACTGATTTTATTTTCTGAAAGTGTTTGAGGATGAGTTATGGTAATTCACTAAGATCAGCGATGAAAAGCAGGGTGTATGGGACTATGATACTTTTCAAGCATCCTTCTCATAAACAGTTGCCTGTGCTGGTTTCATTGGCTTCTCTGACATGCTCAGAATGACATGTTGGATCAGTGCTGGTTAGAGTTTACTGCAAATAAAATGAACAATATACATGGATAGAAGCCACATTTAAAGCTGAACAGTATAGGTCTGTAACTGTTGCATTAGTTTCTGTTCATATTTTGAAGATTCTCATTACTGCAACAGGAAGGTTTCAGTATGCCATAGATTTTGAAATACAAGTGGGCTGCTGCCATGAAAGAAACAGCCTGGTGGAGTCTGCTTTGAAATCAAGGTATAGGCCTCTTATGTAAGAAATTAATTTTGTGCAGTTCTCTGCCATAGTATTGGCTTCATTCTGATGTCATATTGGTCTTAGGGTCTGAAAATGCTTGTGAAAAGACTTCATTTATGTTTCTGCGACAAGAGCTGCCGGTGAGGTTGGCCAACATAATGAAGGAAATCAGCTTGCTTCCAGACAACCTCCTAAGAACACCTTCAGTTCAGCTGGTGCAGAGCTGGTAAGAACAGTGACGTTCCATTCCTTGCAGGGTGACCTCCTGCAGATACACAGGTGGGAGGAAGTCACTCTCTTCTACTGAAAGGACATTCATAGGCTTGGTGCATGAACATCATGTATTAATACTGAGATGCTAAATACACCAGTGTGATCAGAAACTAAATTTACAGATGTGGGAAAAAAGCATTAAGGAGCAATTAGAGAACCCCAAGGGAATTAAAAAATCATTAAGTATTTCACACACTCATGTATGAGGAATCAATTTTTTTTTTATATAAAAATCCACCAGAAGAGTGTTTAATAGGGAACTTACCTAATAGTGAAGAAGCTAGTTGAAGAAAACAACAGAAGCAAACTAAGGCACAAAATGTTTGCAAAACATAATAGAAACCATTTACAAGACAGGTTATTGCAGACTGAGAGTAAAGGTATAGAAAATATGAAGAAAAAGCAATAGGAAATTCCCAAAGCCAAAACATAAAACAACAGAGAGAACATGGAAGTATTAAAGTAAAAAAGACATTATTTGAAAAGTAAAGTTTGCTTCCAAGTAAGGAACTTAGGCATAAAGTTTTTAAAGATGAAAGCAAAACAAAGAGATTGCTTGGCAACTGCTAAAGGTACAAGGATTTCTGTAAAGGCTTTTAAAGTTATCTGCAAAAATCTGCCAGTAAGTGGGATTGACTAGATGACTGAATATGAAAAGAGCTATCAATGAAGATAGCTCAATGAATTCTTACTGAAACACAAATGCTTACATTCTCATGATACTAGATGACACTGATCAAATGGGAAATTAATTCAATTTGGGCAAATGCAAAGTAGAACACAGGGAAGAACCTCCTCTCCTGTGTGCTTGCTTCCTTACAATGGGAAAAGAAATATTGATGCTACTGGGAATATTTTTCTGCATATGTCAGTTGATGGCAAGAAGGAAAATAGTATTAGGAACTAAATAACCAATGGGTAGGAATATAATTGTACCACTATATTGTGTTAGCCCATTATTCCCCTGAATTGCATGCAGCTCCATCCTGAACAGAAAAGACCAAGAGGGATAATCAAAGGGTTGGAACAATTTCTACGTGAGGAGAAACCAAATAGAATTCTTCAGCTTGGAAAATACGTGTCTAAGGAAAGGGATGGCAGAAATACTTAAATCATGCACAAATGGAAAGATTTTTCTACTAACAGGAACACGCAGGGGCTGCAAATAAGTGATCACCTACTGGGTTTAAAACACAAAGATGGTATTTTATGCATTCTAATTAAATTGTGGTATGCATTGCTCTGGAAATTTTGGAAGAAAACATCATAAATGGATTCAAAGGAAGCTAACAAAATTCACAGGGAGACAGGTAGAATGATTTGGAAAAATGCAACATTGCAAGTCCACAAACTGCTAACCAGAGAGATCTGGGGAGACATATTAGAATTGATCTTTATCCTCTTTGTTTCATTGAAAGGTATGTCCAAAGTCTTCAGGAGATTCTTGACTTTAAGGACAGAAGCTCAGAAGATTCAGGGGCTGTTCAAAGGTAAGGCTTTGTTATCACACATATCTTGTTAATATTGTATTGGAGAATTGGCAGAAAAATAATAGCTGAAAAAAAATTTCCTATCTCTAATCTTTACAGAAGAATTGCAGGGTACATTAAACCAGGAAATTAAGCACTTCAGCATAATGTCATTCTATAGAATGCTCTGGTCTGTCCTGGCTGACCATAAGTGCCATTTGACAGGCATGGGTTGTTCTGCATGAAAACAGTTAGCACAGTTCTCTCTTTCTCTTGGTAGAATCAAGATAATAAATAAATAATAATTTTATAAACATTCAAAATAGTGGATTACTGATTGTTTCAATGCTAGTCAACTGAAATGTGCTGTAAAACACTGACCTGCCTTCTTACTGCAGCAGGCAGATGTGGCATTTTTGTAAGTCTTCATTTTTGTAGACAGGCACTGTTTGCTGGAGGATGAATTTCCCTTGAAAGTGAAATAGTAACAATGAATTCATTTTAGTTTTACAGACACTGTGATAAAAATCCGGAATCGCCACAATGATGTCATTCCTACGATGGCTCAAGGAGTGATAGAATACAAGGAGAGCTTTGGCATCGATCCAGTGACCTCCCAGAACGTGCAGTATTTCTTAGACCGCTTCTACATGAGTCGCATTTCAATCAGAATGCTCCTTAATCAGCACTGTAAGTGTCGAAAGGAGGGCAAAGGATGTCTGTACCATGTCAGCTGTATTTTCCTTTAAGTGCTTAATATGTACTAAGGTGCCACTTAGGAGTATACTATTTGCCTTGCCGTTTATAACTCATTCTTCATACAATTCCTAAAATATTTATTAATAGTAAGCTTTTCAGTATGGTGAGGACTGAAGTTACAGATTGTCTGTAAATTTTTTATTTAGCAAAATGGAAGACACAAACTAAAATTATAAAGTTACACTGGATATTAAATTATGTTTTCTTTTTTGGCAGCTTTACTGTTTGGTGGGAAAATTAATCCAGCTCATCCAAAACATATTGGAAGCATCGATCCTAACTGCAATGTTGTTGAAGTTATTAAAGGTAAATTCAGATAATAAGAATCCTGAAAACTTACATGGGAGTCCTTACTAAGAGTAAATACAATCCCAGTATGCATATATTGTTTTGTTCTTGCCTACCAGGAGCAGAAGTTTAATTGGACATGAAATACAATTTTGTTTCTTTTTCCTATAAATGCAGTAGTTTTTTTGAAAAGTACAAATCTCCCTGACAGTGCACAGTACTTTAAAAAATTTTATTTTGTAGATTCTAAAGGAGAAAAAAAAAGGTGGGAGGGGGAAATGTAACTTCCTGTGTTCTTTATTATAGATGGCTATGAAAATGCCAAGAGCCTTTGTGATTTATATTACATGAGCTCTCCAGAACTTATCCTTGAAGAGTTGAATTGTAAGTGAATGTGGACAAGGCATACTCTTGAACATCATGATGGCTTCTTCCAAAGGAGCTGGTGGTGAAATGTTCTGCTTTTCACATAGTTCATGTGTTCTCTGTATCTACTGGGTTTTTTTAAATCTGGCAGAATGCCTTCCCCATTCCTCCCTTTAATCAGAAAACTGACATGAGTAGAAGTTTTTGATTCTACAGCTGTTGATACAACAAATTTTAGCAGGCTCCTTCCCTTGCTAAGATTTCATGTTTCTTCACCTGACATTACTGCATCTCACCCTCTCTGCATTTCTTGTGACACATTAAAGATTTATACAAGACTTTCTGTTCCATCTTTGTGATACCTATGAGGAGGTTGTTTGAAAACATGATATGATATGCCCTACTCAGTGATCCCATAGTGGGTTTTAAGATTAATTTCTAAAGTAGCAAGCAACATCTGAAAATCTTGATTATGACTTTTAATTAACATACAATTTTTCAAAAGATTTCTGTTTAAATTTTCCTTCTTTAAATTTAACAATACAAATTCACATTCTGAATGATTGTGGGAATGAATAAAGACATCTCATTTGCCATTTAGTTATTTGCACTCTCTTCTCTCCAGCTAAATCACCAGGACAGCCTATGCAAGTGGTGTATGTGCCATCACATCTCTATCACATGGTTTTTGAACTTTTCAAGGTCTGTGCACTTACCATTAATTACACAATTCTTTCCTACATCTTTGTTTACTGAGACTGTATTGCTTTGACTTTTCAAACTGATTCTAGATCACAGTGTGATTTTGCAAGTGCAAACTTGTTGCCATTTGACTGCAGCAACACAGCTGCCCTGTACTATTAGAGAAACAATAATTGCATAGAAAATGAACAGCTTTGGAAGAGGTATCTCTTTAACCCAGCCACTGAATACCTTCTGAATAGACACCTTAAATCTTAAAATGTATGAAGATATTAGTTAATGAAGCAAGTTAGATATCCCATAAATTGTATATTTTCAAATCTGGTAGAATACATAACATGTCCTACAGACCTTTTCTCCAGCAGTTTAGTCCTAGACTTTTCTTGGACTTTGTGCCATATTGCATGTACTATGTGCATTATAAAGAATTCTAGAACACAAATGCTTTACATTAAACTATTCACGTTTCCTTTAAAAAATTAAATATTTGAAGTCTTAATATTATAATAAATTAAATATATACTGATACTGAATAAACTAGGAATATTAAAAAACCCATTCTAAACCAATATACATTTGTTCTGATTCTTAAATACATGATAAAAATAACTACTAAAAGATATTTTAAGTTAATATACAAAGTGAATAGGATTTAAGTTGTACTTGGAAATTACAGAATGCAATGAGAGCCACCATGGAACATCATGCTGATCGAGGCATTTATCCTGCAATTCATGTACAAATCACGTTGGGAAATGAGGATTTAACTGTGAAGGTACTCTTTTTTTTTTTACTATTCTGAAAGTTATTTTGATTAGGATTTTCCTTTCCTGTCATGAGCAGTCTATTAGTAACTTGAGCTGGTGATCTGGTTCCATCAATACATTGTATGTGATGATGTTTGTAAGTGAAAAACCCTTATGAGATTTCACACACTGCCTCGTGAAGAGGCTGCAGTCACACTGAGGGCTCTGCAATAGCATCCTGGACTTGCTTGTGTCTTGCCTAGCTTAGAAGCAACCATGACTAAAGTAGCATCTTTATACTTTATATTGTAACATCAGCATTTTCTAAGTGACAATGACAGAGCTATACAGGTCTGAAAGAACTGAAGAAAGAGAAAACTATATTACATATTCCACACAAAACAAACCTCCTGAAGTACAGTTTGCAGCTTCTTTTTTTCTGAACAGCACCCATCTGATTTCAAAGACCAGCTGCAAGCACTGTGTTTTTCATAGGTCTCACTAAACTGTAGTAAAATAACTCCTTTGACTTACTCCTTCACGTAATAGATTTTAGTAAATTATATTTAAATACGGCAGTATTCTTGAGGAATAAAGATAAAATACACAGAGAACTTACCATTTGCCAAAAGGTATAGTGACTTCAGACAAAAGTGTGTGATGAACAAGATAAAAGTAATGCACAATTCAAGCAGAATTTCCTTTTCTCCAAGAGATGTTGAATGCTTCTTATGGCAGTATTTTATTTAATGGTTTGAATAAAGGATGAAAGGGAAGGATTCATTTCTCTTTGGTCATTGTTGAAGATGAGAATTAAAAGAAAATCTGTAACTTAGTAGGAAAATCTGTAACTTACGCCTTCAAATAATACTTTACTGTAATTTTTTCTGGCTTATTATTTGAGAGAAGCTGTCTTTTATACAAGTGTATTCATAGATATAAAGCTAAATGCTCCTTCTTGTTGCAGATGAGTGACCGTGGTGGTGGTGTTCCTATGAGGAAAATTGACAGACTGTTCAACTATATGTATTCAACAGCACCACGTCCTCGTGTTGAGACATCACGAGCTACACCTTTGGTATGCAAGAATTTATACCATGGCATCCTGGATAGGTCCAATTGTCACAAAAACCATTTAGCTAAAACTATGAAATGCTGATTTTATAGATATTACATTGAGTAATATTTGAATTTTACTTAATTCAAGCTTAATTAAAGTATTTTTCAAAAAATAACTGAAAAATGGCATAAAATGCGAAAAATTATTTACCTTTGTTCAAGATTCTCTTTTTCTCTACTAAATCTAAAAATCAGCCACGTCAAGCAGAGTACTTAGCTATGCTGCACAATCCAGTGAGAGCACGATTCAGAATTCTATTTGTAGCCACTGAATGAAAGGAAGAATAATTGTAGCAGTGACTTTAGATCAAGGCCATAGTTCATTTGTATTGTGTAGTCCATTGTACCAACCCCTAGCAAGGATGAAGGTACAAAGATGTGAGAGGGTATATGAAGAATCCACTTTGGTCTCATATGAGTGTAATAAATGCACAAGAAATGAAGCCTAAGCTCTCAGAAATTAGAATCTCTGAACAGCTTTCCTGTATTTAGTCTCCCACCTTGCATCATTTAAAAATGTATGTAGTTCTGCATGTAGATGACTCTGCAACTTACTAAACATAAGATCTTTACAGAGGAGTGTTGTGTACACTCTCTGAGATTACCTCTAAAATGTAAACAAAAATTAGTATTTAAACAAAATATTTAGTGTTTAAACAAAAAAATCACACTTAACACTTCAGGGCTCTGTCCTGCTACTGCAGCCAGGGCTTGGTAGAATTTCAGTATAAGCTGCAAAGTCACAGATTATATGTCTTGAACCCTTTTTATATATTCTGATGATGGTGTGTATTTGACTTAAGAACTCTGAGTACTTAAGATTAGTAGCTCCATGAGAATGGTGCAGACACACAGCAGAGTGTTCTCCAATGGCATCGCTTCAAAAAGCTGCCATAATGCAAGAAGTGTTACCTACCAGCCCTGCCTGACAAAGGAATCAAACAGTTTTCTCATAATCACAATCATTCATGCATTCTTCTGGTTTTGGAGTATATAATAGCTTGGGAGAGGGCATAATAGTTAACACCTGAACTCCTGTTACTGTCAAACATCATGCTTAGTTTGTGTATTTTACCTATTAAGTTTAAACAGAAAATGCCGCTGATTAATGCAATTAATGGAAGTGTTTTCTCCTGGTCAGGCTGGATTTGGTTATGGCTTACCCATATCACGTCTGTATGCACAGTATTTCCAAGGAGACCTGAAACTGTATTCCTTAGAAGGCTATGGTACAGATGCAGTTATTTACATCAAGGTATGATGTAACACTCTACTCTTCTCAGCAGCTCTAATCTGAACTGCTAATGGAACTCCTTGTTCTGTTATGGTAACTTCAATTAAAAAGAATCATCAGCTAGAGCCTTTTCTCCTTACAGGCCTTATCAACAGAATCAATTGAAAGACTCCCTGTATACAACAAAGCAGCCTGGAAACATTATAAAGCAAACCATGAAGCTGATGACTGGTGTGTGCCAAGCAGTGAGCCAAAGGACATGACCACTTTTCGGAGTATGTAGCTTTTTCCTCAGCAGCTCCTAAGTAGGTTTGTCTGTAAAGGGAATTTAGAAGACCTGATTTATGATTTTGAGCCACTTCTGATATGTGAAAGTAATTCTAAATTTGAGTGTAATGAGGCTTTTCTGAAATAAAAAAACAACAGCCACCAAAACCCCCAAACATGCACATATAAAAAAAGGTCATACTTCATTTGTTTCACTTTCTATTTATGATTGCTTTCAGAGCTAAGTCAAAGGAGCAATATATTGATTTTTATAGGGATCAATGCCACAGCTATCACATCTGGTATTAATTTGTATTATTTAAAAATAATTTTATTAGAAAAACTATTAAAAAAGCTCACTGGAACATTCTTCCATTATAAAATTCTACAGATTAATGAAAAATTTGTGTAAGAAATACTGAGCTCATTGCTATACCTTTGAAACTGTATGGCACTTTCTTTTATCTTAAGCATGCTGAAGCTTAATTTTGCAAAGTTGGATATGTTGCCTACATACACTGCCTACATTAAGGTGGTGTTTTCAGCTGTAGAAATCACACCTCTGTAAGGATAAAAGTTTTTTAAAAGCATTTTTAACTTCTACTACTGGTATAATGTATCTCAGGTATGTGGTGGCATCAGTTCTATTTCTTTGGTTGTAATGTGAATATATAATAGATGTGAAAAACTTACCTTGCCCTGATCATTGTGAATTAAAAAATAGCATTGGCTTGTGTACAGTAGAGAAATCTTAGTCTTGCATTTGCTGTATTTCTATAGGTCATACCAAAATGCAGTATCAACATTCTAGCCTCTGTAAGATCCCAGAGTTGGGTATGTCAGGTACAGCTGTAAATGAAACTATTTTAATAAACAGATTCTTAAAATTTGTCTGTAATAGGGCATCTCTATTACTTTGACAGTATAAACTGCCTTCTCAGGAGTAAGTAAAGTAAGTAAATTAAAAGTTTTTGAAAATACCTTTGCATTTGTGATATGCTTCTGGCCTTGTTTTTGTAGTAACTGGAAGTCACATTATAACATAAACATGATAACCAGAATATGTTAATCAAAGACAAATCAGAACACACAGGGGAAGAGAGAGAGGGGAATGAATCTTACATTTCAGATACAGAGTCCTTCCAATTAAGAATTCAACTCAACACCTACTATATGAGCTTTGTTCAAATCATACACATCTGTGTTGCACCTCAATCCCTGTCATTCCTGGGCATTTTTGGAGGGATGCAGTTAAAGCCATTGGGAACCAATGTTTTTCTCAGTTAATTAAACTGCATGTAATTCTGTGGGTTTTGTTCTGCAGCAGACATGCATACTCCATCTCAGAAACAACAGACCTAGCTTTTGCTAGTTTACTATCTCAGAAGGTGAGATACCACAAGTGAAGCGGATAGGTAGGATGTTGGAAATTGAAGTCATGCTACTCTGGTTGCAGCCGAGCGAGATTCAAGATTTATCACCTGCTATTTCCCTAGCCAAGGTTTATACCCTGGTTAAGCTACTGTAGATAACTTTAATAGACGTGCATTACAGACTGGGCTGTGTACAGTTAAACTGACAGTCTGAGGGAGTATTATTGTGTCTTAATTGCCACCAGATCAGTAGGGTTACCTATTCCACTCGAGCTTGTGGGCACCTTGAGGCCCCTATTCTTCCTTGCAAGGATGCGAGTTGATAACTGGCACACCTTTCAGTCTGTAGGGCTACAAGTGAGGAGAACCAAGAGCTGTTCTCTTCTCTGGCCCTGCAACAGGATGTGAGAAATGCCACACAGTGTAAAATGGGGCCTGTACGAATGCTGGCAGGGACACTTGCAGCTATTGCTTTTGCTAAACTCAAGCTGAAAGTTACAGCAAGGGCTTTCAAAAAATCAGGTCTGAAGCTGAGCATTCTAGCCTTTAAACCTTTTAACCTTTTAGCTGACCCTTCTAAACCTTAAACCTTTAACTAACTAAACTGATTTTAGTAACATCGGACAACTACAAGCAGTGTTTCTGAAGAAAAGCTAACAGTTTGTTTTCTGCAAAGTCCATGAAGTATTTTAGATATTACTGTAATAAAGTCTCTTTCATGTTCTCAGCTAACTACCAACTGAATTCTGATTACCAGAGCAACTTGCTGTATAATTATATTTGTAGTTATCTCTTTGCCTGCAACCCCAAACGATTGTGGTGAAAACACAAATGCATCGTGGTTTGATTTACAATATTTAATCATAGTTAAAAGTTTTGAACTTTGGTAACTTTTGCTTTAAACAGAAGTGCAGAGGACAACTTTTGTGTTTAGTGTTTTCATTACTTTACCGAAGTCATTGCGAGCACACGGGTTAAGTTGAAGTGAATCACTACAGAAAAGTAGTATACTATCAAAATGCTGAGATTAATAGTTTTGTATGCAAATTAGCTCAATCTTGCACTGTAAAATTAATCTTGGTTTGTGCTAATTTTTGAAAGAATTGCTGCATCTATTCATTAAAACTATTGTGAAAATGAAACTCTGTTGGGTGATTGTGTAGCTGGGTAATGAGCTTGTTCAGTGCATCCAGCCCTCCTGTTCAATGTCCGCCAGATGTTGAACGCTATGGGCTCTGATCATCAGCGTTCCCATGCTCGGTTGCCAGGGGAGTTTATCATCCCTGCTGTGGCCCCTCCTTACCTGGCACAGCTCTGCACACAGGGAAACCTCTGAAACCATCATTTTCACCAGTCTCCTTCAGGAGAAAACTCTTCCCAGGGTGCAACAGTACGCTTAAAGAAAAACGGTAATATGGGATTCTAGCAATATTCTGTGTTCTAGCTGTGAAAACACTCAGCTTTCTTGACTGAATTAATTAAGTGGTGGTTTTACGTGGGAGATCCTGAGCATTTGATGATTCCATACTTCTAACTCCTTTCTCTTTCATCAGTAGGGCTGCATTCCTCTTTGGTTCAAGGTCTGTAAGTTTGGCATACAACTCAAATCTACTGTAAACAAAGTAAATAAGTTAAATCTTGACCAAATAATGCATAAAACTGAAATATAGTATCTTTTAAAAAGTATTTATTACCAAGATTTTCAAACTTTATTTTGGAAATGCTTAGTGTGCAGAAGCATTTCCACACAGTCCTTTTGCTGAAATTCTTAAGACATTTATACAAAAAAATAATAAATGTGAAACACCAACAGTGAAGTTCATTCATTTAATTAAAATGAAAAACGGTCCATAGATTTAAAGGAGAACTTGGTCCACATAAACGAGCTATGTAAGTTTTGTTCTAGTCCATTCTAGGGTGGAATTGATATTTAATCTAGTCTATGTTTCTGGAATAATCTAAATTAAGGAAGTGTTCTTGTAGTATGTCTAGAAAATAGTATGTAAATATACAAAACACCAAGTCATGTTCTAAGCTATGTCAAGAATCAAATCCTCCTTTAAAGAGAAATAATCTGTAGTCTACAACTGAACATTTAAATACAAGGCAGAAACCCAGGGTGTCAGTGATAATTTTTCCTACAATTCTTCCCTCAGTATTTGAAGTCTGAAAAACAGTATTGTTTAAAATTAGCAAATATATAAATTTGGTCCGCAAAAAATCTTGTCGCATGTAGAAAAGAGAAATACATGTATTGCAAATTGATCTTATTCATAGCATAAATCTATAAAACTATGTATTATTTAGGAAAAATAGGTTAAAAAGGATCTTATTTATAGGCTTCAACCTTGTCCCAACACCATATGGGTAGTGTACAGAAAACTTAGTATTATGCTTAGGATACGTAGTTTGTGAAAACTACTTAGTATTCCTTGTTATTTTCTCAGTAAATTGCAACACATAGAATTGAAAAATGATGTGCTACTAAAGTGAACTTTGAATGAAGTTCTGGAAGTAAAAGAGTTAAAATAATCCTAAATTCCAAATACATGCTTTCTTTTTAAATTAATTTGACATTACCATTTCTTAAACTTAATTTTTACTATACATCTTTAGTGGCAACAGATAAACAGACTGTCACAGACTGAATTTGTTGGCAGGATTTTTCTATTGTCCCTCTATCACCTTTAACTCTATCAAATGCTAGTTGACTAATACTGGAATGATTTTTAAAACAGTATTCTACTTTTCACAAACATCGATTTAATGAAAAGGGCATATGACACCTTAGAAGCAGAAATATTACTTAAGGCAGAAAGTTAAATTATTGTCCATTAGTACAGGCAGAGTCAACTAGAAATAAAAATACTGAAAACATTATTTCATTTTACTGGGCTGTAATGGGGAGGGACCACAATTAAAAGTAAAAAACCACCTACCACGTTGAACTGTTGAACTGTTGCACTTTCCCTCCTCCCTCAATTGTACAATTATATACAAATCTGCTGAACTTCCTCCAGTTTAGGCAAGTCTGCACTAAAATAAAATGGTCATTTTAGCAGCTTGATTCAAGAGTGGCCACAACTCTGCCAGTCTTGCGAACTTCTTTCTCCTTCTTTTGAACCTTTTCCTTCTGCTTTTCCAGTTTTTCCTGTGTTTTTCTAATATCCTTAATTTTTTTCTTTATTGTTGATCGGTCATTTTGACTGGTAACTCCCAAAGCCTTTGAAGGAGGAAAACAAAACAAAACCTCATCAGTAATTTTTTTCAACAGCACTGTTAACAGTGCTTGTGCATTAACAGTATAAGAAAGTGTTATCCACTTTTCGACAAGATAGTCTGTTTACTTGAAATATAAAGATTCGGGGCCACAGAAACACTGCAAATAATCATCTGGGTAACAAGGTAGGTAAGAAAACCAAGGCTAGCTCTTCAGTTGTGAAATAACAATTTCATGTTGCATTTTACAAACATGTAAACCCCTGGGAATTCCCAGAAAATAGCATCATTTGTTTTAGTGTCCAGATATCTTCCTAGCTCTTTCTGCACACGAGGAATTTTTACTCGGTAACAACTCTGTCATTCGCAGGCCTTTAAGGCGCATTATCAGGAGGCGGCCGCACGCTGGCGCTTGCGAGCGGCAGGGGGCAGCAGCGATCCCGTCACCCGCCCGGCGCGCACCGAGCTCTGGGCACAGCGCCCGAGGCTGGCTGGGCCAGCACTGACGGGCCAGCCGCTGGTGTCTTCCCTGTGCCCACGCGATTTTATAAAGCGGGACATTTAGTGTTGCATGTCTATTTAAAATGCAGGCACATTTTGGAGGCTGAAGTTAGAACACCTTTTTTCCCCCTAAGCCCCTCAAGTTCTGCTATTGATCATTAATAATAATTTGCCTTACGCCAGAGCTGACCAATGAACCTCTTCTAGCTGCACATCTTGCCTGTCCATAATGAAGTCTCATAATCTAACAAGAAAGAAAAACTGCAGGAATTTACCAGAACTATAAGGGATATATATACACTACAGCTTCCAGGTGCAATATAGCAAGAAAAGGCTCCAAAGATTCAGAGTATGTATTTCCAGCAGGAGTAAAAACTTGAAACATTTTAAATGTCACCAGACAGGATTTCAGCCTTCGCATTTGAAGAGGAAATGCTGAAGAAACGGATTTCTAAAACTCAATCCTGCAATTCTATTTCAATTGAACTTGTTTTGGTATGACCTTAGTTGAGATTGGTGACAGATGTATCAAGACTCCTTGAACAAATATGCTTCCTTTCATTTCCTCAAGGAAGCAATATTTGTTATTTTTCTGACTGTAAACAGCCTTTAATTTTACAATCAATTACTAATTACCATCTAACTATACAGTCTTCGAGTATTTCAAAAGCAACTCAAAATAAAACAACAAGAGCGAGTAAGTATCCCTTAAAAAGCCACAGAACCAGGAAATTTGACTTTGTAAGTTAAAAATATGTCCAAATAAGCAGTGAAACCTATACAGTTACAAATCAATCCTGGGATGTACACATACCTTCAGCTTCTCACTGTCAAGCTGCATCAGCTGCTGTCCATCTACGTTCATAGCTGTGAACTCTGTGATATAC